TTGCTCGTCTTTGCCCATCGGCCATCGACGCATGTGTCGAGTGGCCAAGAAAACGATGTTTCAAGAATAACACCTATTTCGATGTCTCTTAGTGTTATGACATAATTAAAATTAATCGAATCAATATATTCTTATGGATGAGTGATACCCTGAGAAACACAATTCTCATTTGCATAGTTTCGAAATATTTTTTCTTAGTTGTTTCACATCACCATACAGCTGTTGACTGCGACGACATGTCAAGACATGTACATAAACTAAAAAGAAATTGATAGAATTGGCTTCAAAGGGCAACACATGTTGTTTGAAAATAAATACAACTCAATGATGATGTTGATCATGATGATGATGATGATGATAAGCGAGATGAAATTATTTTTTGATTTTGTTCTAAACAGCATGACGCACCACATCTCTCTCTTTCTATATATATATATATATATATGTATATATACTTTTTTTTATACACCTTTGTAAAGAAAATATGCTAATGAAAGAGATCATTAATTTGAAAACTGACGCCAATCAATTGTATAAATTCATTTTGAGTCGTTTTTTTATTAAGTTTTTTATACGTTATCATGTATCATATTTTTATTTTAGTACATATAAAAGAATGTCTATGTATTTAATAGAACGAACATCATTGGTCTAAAACGTAGGACAACTACCCAATTGATGATAGATCATGTTTCTTTTCGACAATAATCATAATCGTTCGCGACGAAAAGAAAGAGAATTGGGGGGAGAGAACTATAATTGCCTTTAAATCGTTTCTATGTCTATTTTAGGTCCATATCCAATCATTGTAAAGCTAGATACATTGTCAATTGCCTCAGGTGTCATTTGATAGGACGAAGAAGAAGAAGGTAATTCAGCACAAATTAATTCACATACTCGCTACCCCTCTCTCTCTCTCTCTCTCCCTCTCGGTATATGTGCACCAGCAGATCGAAATAAAACGAGAAGAGAAAAGAAGCAAGAGAGAAAAGAAAAAGATATTTTTCCATTGCTTTTGCTTTTGTTATTCTACTAAATCAGCGAGTCAATATTAGACGAGAGAAAAAGAAATTGATAAAACATTCTAACGGAAGATCGAACATAATTGAATTAAACTGTGCGAGTAACGTGTTGATCAATTGTGAACGAAAAATATCTATTATACCTTTAATATCATGCCGGTTCATCGTCCATCGCGACCATTGGCTACAACGTCAAATTCTCGAAAATCAATGGGATTCTCAATAAATGATATTATTAAAAATGATGATTCAGCTAAAATTTCTCCACGACATATTCCTCCGCCTATGCCATCTTTTTTACCACCGACATCATGGTTTCCACCACCTAATAATCTAGATCCAATCGTGCAATATCAATTGCAATATCTTCGAAATAGTGGTCGATTGTTTGATGGAAGATTTACTAGTAAAAACTTTCTTGTTCTTCTTGTATCCATTATGTTTTGGCATTTTCTCTAATTATCATAGGTCCAGAAGCAGCTGCAGCACTTATTCTTCATTCATTTCGTAAACCAAAACGTGTACGTACAGCCTTTACACCAGCTCAATTACTTAAACTTGAAAATGCATTTGAAAAAAATCATTATGTTGTCGGACAAGAACGTAAAGAATTAGCACGACATTTAAATTTAACTGAAACTCAAGTAAGTCATCAATTAGAAAAACGGAAATGTTATAGTAAAGAAATTCCGGTATTTGCTTAAGGAAATACACTAAAATAATGATGGTTTCCTCCGGAGAAGGAAAAGCAAAACTGATAGATTAGTAAAAATAACAACTTAAAATTGATTGATGAATTCCGACAGTAGGAAAAGAGAAAAGCAAAATTAAATATATTTTAGGTTAAAGTATGGTATCAAAATCGTCGTACAAAACATAAACGCTTGAAATCAGAAGATGGAAATAATAGTTCAAATGATATCAATGATGATGAACAACAAGATGAATCTATTGAACATGATCACAATCAACAGAATCAATCGGATACATCCGATACAACGAATAAAAACGATGACGAACATTCATGGGATAATAATAATCAACATTATCAATTTATTTCTCAATCATCTACTCCACGTTCATCGGGTTCCGATCGGTATTATTTACTCGCTGCAGCGGCAGCAGCAGCTGCTGGTGCCGTGAAGAATGAATCCTCAGATGATCATCGATAATAGAAAATTTTCAAGTCGATAGAGATAAAAACCGAAATGAAACAATAGACAAAAAGAAAACAAGCAAACCCGGTCTAATCTCTATCTATTCTACATTCCACTTGTTTCTTTTGTTTTTTCTGCATGTATAAATTACTTTATGGTTTTTTTTCTTGTTTTGTGTTATATTGGAGTTTCGGTCTTTTCTTTTTGTTTCAAGAGAAATTCGAATAATTATACAAGAAAAATTTTGATTTGATGAAACAAAAAAGAAAGAACAATTCACAATTGTTGAAGATTTTTATTATTGTCCTATGACTATGGGTATATTCAAGAGACATGAAGATTGATTATTGTGTGAACCAGTAATAGAGAGAGAGAGAGAGAGACTCATTTTAGATTAGAGATCAATATATACATATATATTCTTGATGTTCATAGAGAATATCAACATGTTGAATATGCATTTACTTCGGTTGCCATAATAAAAATAAACACTAGCGTGATATTCATAATATTTATAAAGGCTTTTTCGAGCGAGTAGAAAACGAAAAATACCCCGATAAAGTGTGAATAGTTCGCCTGCGTGGCTTATATTTGCGATCTATGAAAGTTTGAATTGATTACGCTTGAAATTCTATCATGGCAAGCAACCGATTCTCTGCTTTTATCAAATATCTTCCGTTTGTTTTAATTCTAACTACGAACATGGCATCATGTTCAGTATTGTATTGTAAAGAGCATGGGTCTGTTAAAAGATTATAAAACAGTGATTTTGTTCATCGGCTGCTTGATTGTGTGTGTGTGTGTGTGTGTGTGTGTGTGTGTGTGTGTGTACGTATCAGACAATCAAAATTATCAATTTGGTTCATTCTTATCTTTACACTTTTTTTATTTCTTATAATAACTTGTTATCAATGCTTGCGACAAATATAGAAAAGAAAAAAAAGTCTAGAAGAATGAAAATCCAAAAGACAACAACACATATTGACGTTAATATATAGTATAAGAAAAGTATTTATTGTACATTGAAACTTTAGACATTGCTTACTTTACCTTTACATAGTTTCAATCAGCGAGTAACACAAAAAAAATCGGATTTATATATTTTATTATGTCATTTGGACAAGGATCTACCAATAGTTTACCGTCAAATTTCTAGATCAACGAAATCTTAAGGAATCTAATCGAAACATTTCTTTTATTGAATAAGAATTGCAATAATAAAATGTCTAACTATAACAATAAGATGATTGATATTTAAATAAAGAAGATTTATATTTGTTATACAATTGATTAAAATTGGTATTCATTATACTACTTTTCTTTTCTGTTTTTTTTTTTTATCAAATAACATTTTAACTCATTCACAACTGCATGGCGACATCGACGAAATCAATTAGAAATATAGAAAGGAAAAAACTAAGATAATAGTTTGACATAGTGTTTTTTCAATGTGTACTAATGAATCCTGTATTTGATAATGAAAGCTTTAATTTTCCGTGAGACATTAATAATATTATGTTATAGCCTAAAGCAATTTATTTAATATAAAATTAAAATTTTTACTCATTTCATTGTTATATATGAACGATTAAGTTTTTCATCTTGTCAAATGCATTTATGAATAAAATAAAGATAAAAGCTATTATGGCCTTTGATAATTATCATCCTCTAGGCCACTTCAATGATTATTCTTATAATGCTTGTAGATATGAAATGTAACATGGAATTTAAAGCAAAAAAAAGGTAGTGAACATTTTTCTAATGAACCCTATAACCTATTAGTTAATGATAAAAAAAAGTCAGGCTTTTAAAAAATACAATGATTTCCTAACAATAGTTGAGATACATGATTGGAATGAATTGTTTAATAGACTATGGTGTATTATTACTCTTCGAAAGTTTTACGAATGATAGATTGATAGGATCCTGAATGGACACTAGAGGGTTTAAAAAAAGAATTCAGTGATTCGTTTTCTCATGCGTACATTAATTCATACAGGAGAGATCATGATCTTGAAGAAAAACTCCAATGAAAACTGTATACTGTTTTTCAGTTTGTTAGAAATGGATATCGGTGAAGTCACCGGTTTATGTTTTTTTCAATTGTAACTATAAAAAAATAAATTATACTATGAATGAAGTGGTGAAATTTGGTTATGTTCTCTTTCAAGTTTCTGTCTAGCTTTCACTTAAATATAGTACTTCACGTATCTTATATTTAAAATATTTTTCTTGATAATCGATCGAATAGTCTTCTATAATTGTTTCTCATGAATTTAAAAACATTAATTTGTTCAATCAGTTAATTTACTGCAATGAAATATTTCTATAGGATTATGCGCTCTCGAATTGTAAAACACGACATAGACTTTTATTAGCATTCTATATAGTATAAGCAATCAGTGAAAAAACGATTATTGAAAATTTAATTTAAAAAAATATCTTTGAAACGAAAATGAGAATAATTTTTCCTACCGTATTATAATGGTTACAGGTATTTGCTACCTAAGACTAGTTTGAGTCACCAGAACTAGAAGTTTCGATTTATTTCAAAGGTTTAAATCCTGTTAAAAAATGACTATCAGAAACAATTATTTAATCTTTGAAATAAAGGAGAAGAAATGAGTTCAATTCAATCTAGGGCTTTTTTTATTCCTATGAAAATGCTGTTTCTGTATATCAAGTACAAAAGAAGAAACTTTCCTATTTAATGCATTCACAATAAAGAAATCATTTTTTTCTTTTTGATATATTTGACCTTGTGTGTGTGCACGAGTTATTTTTAACTATAAAAATTTCAGTTAATATTGATTGTCTAACATTAATTTGTTCCTAATTCTGTTTTAATCATTTTCGAATCAACAGTATCATCTGATTCTGCTGCATGACCAAATGAAAATCTATTTGTATACACGATATACATAGCAAGCGCAGATATAATAATGATAATAAATATAGTAATTATAATAAAAAATCTATAGATATGATGTCGAGTTTTTTTCGATAATGGCATAGTAGGATATTTGATTGCATCATATTGATATTCTAGATCAATAAAATTCGACGATAATGAATAATAAAAACAAATCGTTTCGTTATTTAATAATGAAAATCTGCATGTAAGTTCAGATGAAAATGAAAGATAGTATGTATCATTCGGGTTAATATTTGACGGCAAAACGAATGAATTATTATCAAGTTTAACGAGTAGGCTTGTTAGAGAAATTATTGGAGGATTTAAATCAACTTTTATTTGATTCTTTTTATCAAAATCTAGTTATGAAAATATAAATAAAATAATTTATTTTTGTTCTTGTAAATCTTACATACATATATTCATATGAATCAATTGAATTCGATGTTTGTCAATGAATACATATGGACAAATAATTATTTGAGCTGGATCAAATGATTCATACATATCAATCGATGAACTACAACCGACAATCGTTTGAGTATTAATTATAGCCATAGAAATATTGAAAAGACTACATTGAATGGTCGGTATAAAGGATAAGGAAAGCAAGGATAGAGCGTTGTACGATAAGCTTTTTATTCTCATTTTGTGACAACCTGTTACAGATTCAAAATACGTGTTGACCGATGTTAAAAGAGAACAAAAAATGAAGTGCTGATGCTGACACGTCGATGGTAGGTAGTTAATAAGAAGAGAGCAAAAAAATTGAACTTTGTATTGTTCTTCAATGAAGCACTCATTGTGCATTTAGAAAAATATACTTCTCTTGATCAAATTGAAAAAGGTTCCATCAAATGAAATTCTATTAAAATAAAACATCGATAAGTGTGCTTCTGAGTATGATTGAAGACAAGAAAAGCTTTTCATTCTTATATGACTTTCGATTGTCTATATTCAATATCTAGTGTCATCTGTTGATTATAAAATTAAACTATTTGCCAATTTAATCTTTTAATTTAAAATAAATAATCTAATTATATTTATCGGTCTTTATTCACCGAGTGATTGTTTTAGTTAGATTAGTGTGTGTGTTGCTAGGCAGCAAAGGTGTAAATGACTATTAAAAACTAGATAATCATCGATAAAAGCATCTAAAATTGTTGATTTTCTGTATTATTCTCAATGGCTGCCACTAATCTAACTAATAACACTCAAGATGAAACACACATTGATATTAATCAATGGGGTCAAGCTATTCTACGTGCTAAAACTTCATTGATTAAGCCGTATTCAAAAGTATGTTTTTAATAAAATTAAAATAAAATTTTTTAATAAAATTATTTTTATTAGTATACTCAAGAAGGTCTTCGTCCACGATCACCTAATTCACCCTATACAATATTAACCAGAGAACAAGAAGCAAATATTGATCGAACGGCAAGTCCATTATTTTTTGATAAAGCTCGTATTTCGACCTCAAATGGAGCATTTCGTCGTTTTCGTCAACGCCAAACAGATTCGATGCCAATGACTCATTTACGTACGGGTGGTCAAGTTGGTAGTGGAACAGAATTCACATATATAACTCCACAAGCTTATACATCGAAACTACCTGAAAAATATAATGGCTCTATAGCGAATGGTTATCCAAAATGGTATCCAAATCGTGCCGGTGAAAGAACTCTATCCCATTTACAAGAAAGTGAACCAGTCGAAAATTTTGTTTCAATTGATATGTATCGTCGTCCGCCAACAGCACGTTCAGGTCAAATTATTTTTGATCATGGACGACCGAACGATGGTTATTATTTACAACGAAATAGACGTAAGTGAAGAAATAAATTTTCAATGAAAGAGTTCTGTATTTCAATTTAAAATAGATGATACAACTTGGTTTGGTTCAGATATAAAATTGAATCGTCGTCATATACTAGATTCTATTGAACCAAAAACAATAGCTGAATACGAACAAATAAAAACGAATCAACAAGATCAATATCGAAAAACAAATGATAAATGGCCTTATTTATCTGAATATGGAGAACAATTCGTACTTGGCACAACAGTTCGAAGTCAGCCAAAGACAGAGTAAGTGTGCATCAAGAGAAGAGAATAAAAAAGAGAAACATTCGATCACACCAGGATTCGAACCTGGAATCTCCCGCTCCGTAGGCGGGCGCCTTAACCGTTGGGCCATGCGACCGTTGTGAAATAGTGTTCAATTCTTCATCTTTAAGAGAAAAAACGATTTTCCTTAGAAAAAAGTTAGATGGAAAGTAATTTTTTTTCGTACTACTAAAAATTTTTCCAATTTTTTTAACATAAATATAAAAATGGAATCCATAAAAAAAAAGAAGTTCCCACATCAATAGAAATTCTATAATCAATTGCTTTCTCGACAATATATTCTAGTAAACCGATATGAAAAATAGTCTCTAATTTAATAGAAGAAAAAAATATATAAGCCGATCAAAGAAGGTTTCGAACTGGCAGTATTCATTGTGTCAGCTAATGTAGGAATTCACCTACGCGAAAAAACGATAGAGACTTAATTTACATTTTTAATGTGTGTTAATTAACTTTTTTTTATCAGCAAACAAATAAAATAGAATTTTCTGATGACACTTGAGTTTTAGATATTTTGACAAATCCTGAAAAAGACATGTGTTCCAAATTCACACGAGTTACAGCGAATAAAAGAAGAACGTTGTTTAAACAGTATTCGTTTCTAAAAACTGAATTTTATTTATTTTCATTCACATGGAAGAAATAAAATTGCCTTCAGTAAACTTTGAATGCCATGGTTCAGTTCTTATTGACTTTCTTTGCATAGTATATTATTTTAGTCTTGAAGATGTTGATTTCAAATGAATCTGCTGGTAAGTGTGCTTCAAGACACATCCATGCAAGGAATGAGATCGCTCACAAATGAGCAGTCGAACTAATCTATATATCCAAATGCTTCATAGTAAACTTCTATATAGACTTAGAAACTCGAGTAAAAATCCTAACAGAATCTTTTTCTAAGGTAGTCTTCAAAACTTCAGAATATTTCCACTGTTACCATCGCATACCTATCAGCTGTAGAACGCATTATATAAACTTCTGAGAGACAGCTACTGTCGTAGAAGAGTATACACATAGGTTTGAAAACACACTCGGATTACTTCGTGTCTCAAAGTATCAGGAATCAGAATCAATCGTAATATAGTCAGTCCCATCAAACAGTCAGATATATGAGTTTTCCAATAGCTATAATCGCACTATATAGCGCCAGAATTTTTCATAGATATTAAATTTAAAAAAAATAAAATTTTCTTCGAGAATACAATTTAGACTAAAAATATAAATGCTAGCGGTAAATATATGGATTATTATTATGCATTAAAAACATTTTATGTATGCGGTTACGTAGATAAAAAAAAGTTATAACTCGATCACACCAGGATTCGAACCTGGAATCTCCCGCTCCGTAGGCGGGCGCCTTAACCGTTGGGCCATGCGACCGTTGTGAAATTATCGTAAGTTTAGCATGTGTATTAGAAAAACGTGTTTCTCTAAAAAAGCATTTACGAAAAACTACAGTATCTAAGTTTCTATAACAATTGAAAGCGTTCGTTTTTCTTATTTATTAATGTTTTAAAAAAAAGATATTCTGAACTGCAGCGTGATTGTGCATTGCGAAATAAAAATAAAACGATTGCGCAAGTAGTTACATAACTTTCTGGAATAAAAAAAAAATGTTTATTAAAGTAAATATTATTTAATAATTTTTAAAAGAAAAAAAATAGAAACATTCGATCACACCAGGATTCGAACCTGGAATCTCCCGCTCCGTAGGCGGGCGCCTTAACCGTTGGGCCATGCGACCGTTGTAGAATCGATAGCATTCATCATCTTTGAATTGAAATTCTTTAAGAATTTCCAAATTTGCTTTTGTTTATCATTGAATAGTTCGTTGCTTTCACCAATTACTAGCGATTGAACGACAACTATAAAAGAAGTTCATAACGAAATTGTTGACAAGTATTTATTATTCATAATAAATCTGAGATATATTCTAATCTTTAGAAAAAAAATATATAGTTTTGAAAGAGAAAATGATTATAAAAGATTCTAGATTAATATAGAAATGCTCTAGATAATAATTAAATAATCATGAAAAGTAGATTTTCATTAGGAAAGTCTTATAGAATTAAAAAAATACCGATAAAAAATGTCTTTTTCGAAACCGATGATATATTGCTTACATATCTAGGGAAAAAAAGAAAACATTATAGCTATAAATAACTCGTTGAACTAGAACGTGCTTCTGCGTTCTTCGATTATCTATAAGAAAGAAAAAAACAACAGAACAGAAAGGAAAAAAATATTTTTCGATCACACCAGGATTCGAACCTGGAATCTCCCGCTCCGTAGGCGGGCGCCTTAACCGTTGGGCCATGCGACCACGTTGTATTGAAATAGTAAAATCAATGTTAATTATTTTTGTCGACGTGAAAAATATTTCTTATCTTACTTTTTTTGTATTTTTTTAGTTTGGAACGTGCTAAAGAACATATCGGACAAAATCCGACACGTTATACATCAATACATAATCAATTAGCAGCATCTGCTGTTGCTCAAGGACGAACTTTGGTGAATGAACCATCACTTGTTGTGAAATGTTAAATTAGATTTATTGATTATTTTACATTGGGAATGTAAAAAAACATCAATATTTGACACTTGAAACCGTTTGAATTTGTTTTATGCTTTATTAAGTTAAATAAGAGTTCTTTTCTTTTTTTTATAATAATTTTTTTAAGACTAACTATTTTTCTTTTATATAAAATAATCACTTTTTATTTTTCTGAATCATTCATAAATGTTAACAAAGTTACATATTATTGCTTTATTAATAAAAATAATTTTAATTATCTGTTCTTCAATCTCGTTTTTATTTTACTATCGGAATTTGTTTTTCAAACGCAAAACATTAATAAAATTAGTATGAGAAACTACTCAACTATTGCTCATTTAATTAATGATAATCATCGATCATAAATAAATACTTCATCGTGTTTCAAGTCATGATGAATCTTCACTTTTGCACTGATTTTGAGGGTACGAAAATATTTAAATGAAAATTTTTCAACTCATTCGTATTCAAATTGTGGTGACGCGAGAGAAAAAACAATGGTTGGCAATATTTGCTATACAGCTCTTTGCGCTTCAGTAAATAAATTTTATATGGCATCGATTTATTAAATAATGATACAATAGCCTTACAATGCAATGTCTTTTTATATAAGAGAAAATAGTATAGGGAAGAGATGAAAAACATGAGAAATCTTAAAATTTTTTTATTTTTTTACCATCACCAGACATTGTTTGTTGCTTACTACGAAATACATCATATGAAATCATAACTATGTCATTTGAACATCCAACACAAATTCGAGTAAGAAAATAAAATTGATCATCGTTAATTATTTCGCTTCATCTAGGTAACAATCCTAAATCACCATAGATCCATTCATCCATCTTCTTGTCTTGACGTTTCAAGAAAAGAAAATCTAGATAAAATTTCCAGACAAAATTCATTGCCAGAAGTACCTTAAAATAATTTTTTTTTGATAATTGTACATTTATATTTTTTATTTATAAAGAAACCTTCATTTCCAATACATTTTGTAACACGTAAAACCAATGAAAGATGTCGTAGTCAATGTACAATTCATACGAATCTTGCACGTAGTAGTCGATTGTTAGGAGTGAAACAAGTAAGATTAACACACTGAAAAGTACAAGGGGTGGCAAGCGGACCCTCGGTACTTCCGAAATACCAAGAAGTACGAAAAAGTACGAAAAAGTACAAGAAGTGCAGAAAAGCATGACGAGAGCTGTGTAGGTGCATGAATATGCATAGAAATTTCTTTCAAATTTCTTTGAAAGAAAAAACTCTAATCATAACTATAAAACACTAAAAATGATTGCTATTATCGTTGCGGCTTGATTCAATGACTCGAGAGAGTCGACCATTTCACAAGCGCGTGTTTTTATCAGTTAATAACCAGCAAGCTAGTGATGACGGAGCCATTAGGCCTGCATAGGCTCAAACTAGGACACATAAATGCTGGGGTAGACGCGAGTCTAACATAGATTTGAGGAGATTGGATTAAGGCAAACTTCAGATACGGCACACCAAGGACTTGATAGGCTCGACAAAATATACAAATTTTTTACTAATGCTTATTTTCATAGTTTTTCGACCAATGGCGTACACTAAGATTTCCAGTCTATATTTCAGTTACTTCTAACTTTTGGTTTTTTTTGAATTTCATTGGCATGTAATTAGATTGACGCCAAATTGCTTCGTCTTAGTATAGAACAGTTGAATTTCTTTTTCCAATATTCTATTAAAAATAGTTTTTGAATTTTATCCCTGTCACAAAAACAGGTAAATTGTAGAGGTCAATCACAGTTTACTCGAAAAATTACCGGCTGCTAGTGGCTGTAATCGAGTCGGTTGATGGATCAGTAAAATCGTTGGTTTTTGTCGGTTTTCACTACATTACTAAATATTTGAAAAATAACTCCTTTTCTGTCGAGCGATACCAGATAAACAAAATCAGACTTTATCTTTCTTTCACAATAAAGCATGAAGCCCACTAGTTTTCATGAAAGTTCATCTTCTAGTTTAATTCTTTTTAACAATTCAAATGATACTAAAACTGAGTCAGGCTTATGAACAGAAATGTCATAGTTAAAGTCAGTAAAAATCTCACTATCAACTTGATGAAGCACCTGCACTGATTTTATTTTAAAAAATTCAGATAGGACACTTTTTTTAGCTATGGAGTAGCCAATTTCTTGTTTGGCTATTTTTTCTAATGCTTTTTTCAATAACACTTTTCAGTTAATTGGTTAATTTCTGTGTTCTCGGGTCTAATCATACATTAGATACTTATCACGTTTATAAACAATCAGAATCTAGTCAGAAAATCGATAACTATCATCATTGTAAAAAAGCAAAATACTTTTCAACTGGTCCACATTCATAAATACAAAATTAGGGCTGGAATCAGATTGAAATGAATTAAACAATTTCTTATACGAATGAGGTTTTAATCAATTTTCAATCCGTTTTTATCAAAAATAACGTAAAAAAGAATCGAAATTTCATGGATTACGCAATTCACACTCACTATATTCGATTAAGACTTCATAAAAACTAGAGTGTAACTGGTGCAAACTACGTTAAAGCTTTGCATTGGTCATAGCGAAAAAAACTTAAAGTCTTATGATAATAATCAAATTTGAATCCTGTATTTTTACATGGACAGACATAATTTTCTCAATAAGAATTAAGCCTACCCTAGACTGAAATCATTCCGCCGTCTCTGTATCGGTGTGCTCAGGCATTATTTAAAATAACTATTAAAAGTTGATTGAAATTTTTGATCACGATCACGATTTTTTTAAAATAAAATTCACGGTCACGAATATTTCTATGTGATTATAAGAGGCACGAAAACGTTTTAGTCATTCGGGACATTCAATGTTAATAGAAATTAACAGTCACATCCCCCCTTGGAAAAGTTTTACGTTTGATGTTAGAATCAATATCATTATTATCTATTGAACTACAAGAATTCGATGGTTTATTTTTTATTATATAGAATGATACAACAAGCATAACCAATAGTAAAAAACCATCGGAATTCCAAAATAGAAATGCCTCAACTGTCACCAGAGTATCTTTTCAACAATCAAGCGTAAATCAAACGAAATATTCCATTAGAAAACTCTTTTCTTTGATGATTTTTATTATTATTATCGATTTCTAGAAGAAGAAGAAGAAGAAACGAAGCCACAGTATGCCATCACCGACAAAACAGATCACTAATGAATCTTCTATCAGTACACGTCCTAATTTCAATAACAATAATAACAAATTATCTCCGCTGCCAAACAATCAGGTAAAGTTTTTGTTATGAATTAGCTACTCTCCACACCTGAATTTTATTCATATTTAACAGACGATGCCAATTAATGAAGTCCAGGATAATAATAAAGTACGTCACAGAAGAAAAAAGACAAACAATTTTTTTCATTAAAAAATATTTATAAAGATAATACCTAAAGAAACTTCAACTGAATTGAATTTCTCCCAGAATATGAATAGAATCAATGAAAATAAAACAAACAAAGAAGTTCTACAACGTCCAAGGTAGGCAGAATTTCTCTATATGCATCTTTAAATCTACTAACTTCAATTGAAAAGAAAATTTCATTGAAATTTCAATAAACTGCAGAATATTTCACATCACTATAATTTTATATGTCAATTTCCTAATAGTTTCTCAACTATAAAATATACCACATTATCCATGTGATTTTTTTAAACATAGACACTTCAATTGTATTTTTTGCCGTTGTTCATTGATTCATATTGTAATAGCAATCATTGCTACCGTTATAGTTCTATCGGCATTTGCTGCAGTGATTGTTGCTCTTTATGGCATCGGGAGAACGACGGCCACCAACGCAAGTTTGTTCATTTGGAAAATAAGCTGTATAAATGAATATGCAATTCAAATTGAAATATTTTTATTTTACAGATACAACTAGCAGTACCAGTACCATTACTACTGTAACCACATCAACTACTTCAACGACTAGTACAACCACAAGTAACTTTATTTTCAACTCGAGTTTTACAAAAGACGCGAATGATTTTTTTCCCCATTAGGTACAACTACAACTCCATTAGTGTGCGGTTCTTCATGTCTTAATCAATCGTGGATTTATTCTGCGGGGGTGGTTGCTTCATGGGCGTTTGAAAATTCTTTTGAAGATTCTACTAATGTCTACAATGCAACTCCGGCGTCACAAACTCCTTCATTTGTTCTTGGATATGTAGGTCAAGCTGCTTCATTCAATGCAACAGCGAAACAAGCTCTTCACACAGCATATATTCCGTTTAAAAATGTGAGTTTTACTGTAGATGTATGGATGAAACAAAATGGATTTCCAAATCCATCAGACTACAGTATAGTTGGCTTGTGCTCATCGGTAATAACTGATAGTTGTCTTCATATGAATATTCGTAGTACCAAGTTCTATATGGGATTCTATTTTGATGATATTCAAAGTGTAACATCAATGCCATTGAATTATTGGATGCATGTAGCATTTGTTTTTGATGTCAGTAATCTTCAACAAAGTATTTATGTTAATGGAGTTCTCGATCGACAGAGAACTGCTTCGAGCGCCTTAAAAAATGCTATATCCAATTTCACCATTGGTACTAATGCATATGTCAGGACGCCAAATAATTATTTTCAGGTTAGACGTATAAGTCTTTAGTCGTAAATTAAAATTCTGCTTTTTTAGGGCTACATCGATCAATTATCAATCAATCGACGGGTAAAATCTTCGTGTGAACTACTTGATATAGCAACACTAGCTGGTTACTTTAAGTTCGATGTTAATTCGTGTTTAATAGATTCTGGACCTAATGGAGTGATAACTAAAGCTTCGAACTATTTGATTATCTCAGGTCATAAAAATCAAGCTATATCATTTTCTGGTGCATCGATGTCTTATTTTCAAGCATCAGGCTTGACTGGATTAGGTATGAGTAATCGATCCTTTTCGATTACATTTCGTATTCAACCTCAAATCTTATCTGGCACACTTGTCCATTTGTCAACATCATCCTTAGGTACAGGATCTCAATGTTTTTCATTATTGGGTTTTACTTCAAATGGAACAATTGTTGCACAAATTTTGACAAATAATAATACTATTATAGCTGTTACTGGTCCTATTTTACCGTTATCGTCAGCATGGACAGAAATTGTTCAAACATGGAGTTCGACAAATGGATTGAAACTCTATGTTAATAATACGCTTGTTAGATCTGTAGCAGCTTCAACATTTCGCGGAAGTGAAACAACACCTAACTATTTAACATTAGGGAATTGTTTGAATGGTTGTGATGCGTGTGTAAACGGATCAATTGATGCACCAGGCCCATTCACAGGTGCCATTGATGATTGGCGAATCTATAATCGTGAACTTAATTCGAGCGATGTATGCACTCTATATTCGTCATAATACATAGAATTTTATTAACAATATAACATGCACAAATAATTGATATTAACTCTGCTAGCACTAATTATTCATTATCTTGAAACGTTTTTCATAATTTTTCCGAACTAGACATCAAAAATAATCAGACAAAAGATCAATCATAATATACTGTTTTGTTTTGCAACGAGAATAGAAATGTTTTAGATTAATTCTAACAATAAAGATTCATTACTATTATTCTTGAAAAACATTGCAATATCTAAATTCTATAATTATAAAATCAAAGATACCGAAGACAATTGAAACTGAACTTAAGAACTGTATATTTTGATTGAATACAAATTGATGAGAAATCTATCAAAGTAACACAATAGAAATTCAGCGTTCTTCATGAAATCATTATACTCTATACAAAAATCAAATCGTTATGCACTTTTTTCTAAAATAAATTCTTTTCGGTTTATTGGATTACTTATTATAAACAGAAGAAATACGGAGTCATATCTATTTGATTTAAGCAAACTTTTGGTCTTTTTTCTCACTCAAGTATTAGTAACAACACGTAACGCCATCTTGCTCGCTTCAGCATTCGCTTGATTCATACATGAGCATACGTCACCAATATAATCGAATGATCACATTTTCAAGAAAAAAAATCTAATAAATTTCTAAAAGTGTTGCATCTTATGTTTTAGTTTTTTTTCTTTGTCAGTGTAGAGATGGCATCCGGCGATAATGATACACATAGGCTTATTCGTTTTCAAGCTTTTCATCCGATCACATATCTGAATCGATGGTTTACAATTCACATCACCAATCGTGAAATATTAAATGAACTTACTCTACGTGCTCCTCATTGTCGAATTTATCCAATTCTAAAATATCCTTGTCGTGTTTATTTAGTTGAATATGAAATAAATCAACGGATTCGTATTTGGTTCGATGACCAAGAAGTTCAAGTGAAAAAATGTTCAGATTATATGGATGAAAATTATTCATCCGATGTTATGCAGCCATGTTGGGTTTGTCAATGGATTGATATAAATGAGAATTGGTTCATTGATCCCAATGAAGATATAGATGAAAATACGATCGAGAAACCTGATTTTTATCGATTAGCTGGTGATCGATACGTCAAATTCGGTGATGGTGGTGAAGCATTTCTGGTTTATCCAGTATGGGTTCATGAACGCCTGCCCGTTAGTGAATCACGTCGACAACGACTTTTGAATTTTTTCTATAAACTCAACGAAGAACAAAAAGACTTTCATCCACACCCATCGCCTGTTCAAGATATTATTGATCCAGATTTACTACCTTGCCGACCAGCGCCATCATTCGATCGAAATGAATGGATTGCACGACGATTAAAACAATTACAAAAATCTGATTATAAAATAAGACATTTCAAACGAGATTTGGATGAAGGAGAATATAATGATTTTTCGGAGCATGAAAAATTACGAAATACTTATCAATGGTTACCGTCAAATTTCGTTACTGATAAAGATGGAAAAGTTGATATTAAAACACCAATTCATCATTTACCTATTTTATCAGAATATCGGCAAACTTATGGTGATATTGCACATATATTTCATTCAATGTTACCTTTATTTGAACAATTGAAACTAATCAAAATGAATACAGGTCAAGAACAACGATTGCAAGTTATTGTTAAAGCTCAAAGTTATAATTTAAAAGCAGGTAACGTGCTAATCATATCATTTTAATCAAATACTTTTTCTTTATTAGGTATGAAATATGCCGGCCGATGGCATACCGAAGGTCAAACAGAAAATATTGTTGCTGTTGGAGTTTATTATTTACATGTTGATGATCAGCTCGAAGGGGGCGGACTGAAATTTCGTCCAAAATATGCTCCTCAAGATTGGTACGAAGGAATCGTAACTCATCATCAAGTATCATCTGTTAAAACTGGTGCTTGTGTTGTTTTTTCTAATTCAATTCCACATCGTTTTCAACAAATTCGAAATTTAACTCCTGATGATGGCCGCCGTCGGACATTTCTTAATTTTTTTATTGTTGATCCCGAACAGCAGATACCGTTGAGATCAGATAGTGTCCTTTGTACACCGAAAGATACGATTATTGAAACACTTCGCGAATGGAATAATGGACGCTTGCCGGATATTGTTTTAGACAAAATTTTAAAATATTTGAAGATATCATCTGCATGGGATAATCAAATGGAAGCTAAAGAATTTCGAACTCGTGTTCGACGCGCCATGCTAGATGAAAAATCAGGTTGGGGTTGGATATGTTGGGGTAATTGTGGAACAACAGAATTCGTTCCATCACTATCCACATGGTCGCCACGAGAAAGAAGCGAAGCAAGAGATACATTACAGCATACAGAATCAGATTGATATGAATCATCTTAACCAATTTTTATGTGACCTTAATATAATGCTGAATCTATACTTCTTTCTAAAAAAACCACCTATATTTTGTATCTTTTTTTTTTGAACTTTTAATATTGATCAGCAGTTTTATTTTCCATATTTATATTAAGCACTATTGTATACATTTCTTTTTCTGGAATTCAATATTAGTATTTGAATTTTCCTTATTGAATAAATCATATAGAATATTCATATTCGAAAGTCTGGTTTTATCAGTGAAAACAGTTATTTTTCTTCTATTATAAATAATGCCAATATTAACGCTTAAGAAAACAAAATAAAATCATTCTGAATGCACGTCATGATTTAGTTAAAGTCGAGTATGCATGTCGATATTAATAAAAATATTGAGTCGCTTTTTATCCGCTCACATCCTTCGTAATGTGTTAAACAATGAAAAAGTAATGCTTTTCTTATTAGTTATTTTTATCTCTTACCAGCGCAATACCCATATTAGCATATGCGTATTGCACACGTAAATTCTAAAAATAAATACATCTGTATCTGTTGACAATCTGGTTCATCAAATTTAGATATTGACTAGTTTAGTTTGATTAATTTTTATTCGTAAATGAAACCAAATAATCATTTTTCAAAAGGCATTTAAAAAGAAAAAAAAAGTCAATTATCTTCAAAATTCATCGTTAAAAATTTTCCTTGATTATTATTCATTTATGAATCAATAAACGTAGTAGTATGCAATGGTTAATAACAAATGTGACCACGTCATCAATAAATCAAAGCGAGTTCCAAAACAATAGCAAAGAAAAAATAAATATTTAAATTCTAAAGCTGATGCGCAAGTATTTTGATTACATTATAAATATTAACAGTAAATGAAGGCCGCCTATGCCATTCAGTTATCAAAGAATTTCAACTCACTTATTTTCCTTTTCACAGGACTTATTAACAGACTTCACGTGTGTTCTAAGTTAATAAAATGGATAACGACTCGATAGTAAGTCATATATGTGTATGATGTTTAGTATATAATCGATTCGTATTTCTTCTCTAGACAGATATTGCATGGCCCGTAAACATCGAATCTATGGTGAAAGCTGCAAATCAACCAACCTTGAATAAACATATAGAAAAACCATATTCGAAAAAATATCGAAGGTAAAACAATAAAAATTACTTTTTACTTTTATGGTTTGTTTTGTTTACGTTTGTGTTATAAATATCACTACTATGTGAAACTTTCATAATGTAAAGCAGTACTTTATCGAAAATTACATTGTTGTCAGAACAAAATCAAATTTATCGTTTTTTTTTAAATTCGATCGATTCTTTATTGAACTATTCTAAAACTTAGTAGTACGATCCAATCTATATGTTGTGTGTGTTGAGACGTTTTCAAATTGGTGCCCGCAGCGTTGAATATTTGTTTGTTTGTTTTTTGCAGAAGCCATGTCAGTACTGATTTCATTTCAATAATAAAATACACTAGATAATAATGCAAATAAATTCATAAAGAAAGTAGCTGCTAGCGCAAACCCTGTGGGATTAAAATGTGAAGCACGATGAAACCCCTTTTCCGGAATCCGCCAATCACGGCCAGTCATCGTCTGTGGAGCTTCTCTGTTACGGCCTGTATGATGATGTATGGAGTCTCTAGAAACCATCACAAACCGTTACAGAGAACTGAAAAACCACCACAGACCACCACAGAGAAATTTAATAATTAATAAATTAACCGATTAACTGATTAATTAATTTCTCTGTAACGGTCTGTGGGGGGGGGATGGGTCCAAACTTCTACCCTATATACTTCAACATTCGTTTCAGATCGTGCTTCACAAAACACAGTTATTAACTAAGTTTGATGATTAAGGTTTAGCGTTTTTGTTACGTGACTGATCCGAGAGTGAGAATGAAATTCTAACTGTCAAGTCGATAATTTTAACAATTGAAATTCAGAGTTTCTACTCAAGAAATTTATTGAATGAGAATACATGATTCTGCTTTTCTTTTTTTTTATAGATTTTGTGGTATTGTTTATTATCCGTGTTCATTACTGTGGCTGGCACTTTTGTTGTTACTTGCTCTTCTTCTTCTTGCGATTATTACTGCACTTTTAATAGTTTTTATTGCTAAGAATAAGCAAGCTAAAGCAATGCTAATAGGTAAAATTAAGTTTTTAAAAACGATTTTCATTTTATAAAAATTATCTATTTGTATATAGCAATCAATTCAACGGAATCACTAAATTATACAACTGAAGCACTAAATTATACAACGAATATCACTGAACGAACGGTTATCAATGCATCAGCAACAACAACAATAATGATGGTGAAAATGGCAGGAGAAATGACAACTACCATTCCAGGTCAGTGAATTGATATTTTTCTCTTTGATTTAGTTTATCTAAAATTCTATAATTAACAATATTACAACTATTAATTCATAGACTCAAATACTAAATCAACTCTCATAATTTTTTTCCAATCTCATCATCTAATAGCTGTGATAGATAAGTAATTCTCTGAGTAGTTGTCTTAAAACTAAGATACACATTGATATTTATCTATCTTTCGCGTGAGACGAAAAACGTCATATAATGAATTTAAAAAAACAATACCATTCATTAGGCACTACAATAACTCCAATTTCATGTGGCCAATCATGCCTAAATCAATCATGGATTAGTTCTGCGGATGGTATTGCCATGTGGCCATTTGATGATTCATACACTGACATTGTTAGTGGTCACAATGGGCTTCCTTCTGCGCATCTTCCTACTTTTGTCCCCGGATATGTACGTCAAGCAGCTTCATTTAATGCGTCACAGCAACAAGCTATGCATACATCATTTATTCCATTGTATGATGTTAGTTTCACTATCGATGCATGGATTAAACCAACTGGATATCCGAATTCAAAAGATCACAGTATTGTTGGTTTATGTCCATCCAAAATAGTAAATAAATGTCTGCATATTAATATTCGTAATAAGAAACTTTACTTTGGATTTTATAATAATGATCTTCAAGGTCGTACGGAAATCTTACTCAACCAATGGATACATGTAGCATTTTCTTTTGATAAAGTAACAAGCATACAAACTATCTATTTGAATGGATATCTTGACGGACAACACAGGGCATCAACTACATTAGAAATTTCATCAGGCAATTTTACAGTTGGCACTAATGAAGGTGTAAACTTTGGAAGTGGCTATTTTCAGGTAATATCAAAATGTTTTCTCTTTGAAAGGAAAAAATGGAATCCCCTCTATGAGATAATATTAATATAACAATTTACAAAAGGAGTTTTTTGATAATATAAATAAATTTAGGGCTACATCGATCAATTATCAATCGCTCAACAATTGAAATCTTCTTGTGAAATACTTGATATAGCAACATTAGCTGCTCGTTTTAAATTTGACATACCATCACCATACATTGATTCGGGACCTAATGCAGTAGCGACTACGTATTTAGACACGTCGATTGGCGCAGGCTATTTTAATCAAGCTATATCATTTTCTGGTGCACCAATGTCTTATTTTCAAGCATGGGGCTTGACTTCATTGGGTATTAGTAATAGAGCATTTTCACTTGTATTTCGTATTCAGCCTGAAGTATTATCTGGTACACTGGTTCATCTATCAACATCATCTTTAGGTACAGGACCTCAATGTTTTCCATTATTGGGTTTTACTTCAAATGGAGCAATCGTTGCACAAGTTTTGCTCAGTGCTAATACGGTTGTATCAGCTACTGGTCCTATTTTATCTGTTTCGTCAACATGGATAGAAGTTGTTCAAACATGGAGTTCAACAAATGGATTGAAACTCTATGTTAATAGTACGCTTGTTAGCTCTGTAGCAGCTTCAACATTTCTCGGAAGTGAAATAACACCTAACTATTTAACATTGGGCAATTCTTTAAATGGCCGTGATGGTCGATGTACCAATGGCTTAGTCGGCCAGCCAGGCCCGTTTACAGGTGCAATCGATGATTTTCGTGTATACAGTCGCGAACTTACTCTGGAGGATGTGTGCACTCTGACTTTTATTATTTGATTTCATCAATAGTTTTTGTGTTTTCTTTTCGATTTTTTTCTTATTTATGGGGATGAAGCGTTGTTGCTGAATCGATGTAAAAAATTTATTGATGGAGTTTTGAGAAATAGATTATGTTCTTTAACAGTATCAATTATAAATAACATCTATCTAAAACATTGAGTTTTAGTTAAGATGATACAAGATTACCATAGTCAATTTTTGGAGGATTATCTTTTTCAAATGATAAACTAAAGGAATTAGATTATGAATAATTCTATTAATAGTTTTTCATAGTCTCAATATTTTGTTTTTATGTTTTGTTGAACGAAACTCTTTCACAATTAATTTAACAATGAATAAAGTAAAACGAAAAAGTTGCCTAAAATATGTTCCGAGAAGATACCAATATTTATAGTATCATCACTATTAATTGTCACAGCCGATGAAGTTATTTTTAGAAAAAAATGGAAAGATGGCAGTTATCTTTTAGTCATAACAAAGACTGATGTAATTGTTTTTGAGAATAGAGCAGCAACAATAAAGTACGTAGCATAGCCTATGTCAAAGGAGAACTGCTATTGTGACACACGATCAGGTTAGTGATAGGAAGAAAAATTTAATTTTATCATATTTACTTCGTCGGAATGAAAGTACACCTGCTAGGTTTTCCTCGACAATAAATTAACGCTCACTTTAGATCGTTTCTTATCAAATCTAAGAATGTATTATGTATTGTTAGAATTTTTTGTATATTTTTCTAAAGAATCTAGTAGAAATGTTCTCTTCATTTTGGTTATGTTTTATGTAAAAGTTTCAATTCTTGATACGAATAAAGAAAATACGTCAATTCGTTAACTATGATAATTTTGTTCAAGTTAGAGAAGTTCCCAAGACCTTTGTCTATCAGTAACGTGATGCATATTTAAAAACAGAAAGATGATATAAGTTTTAATATCTAATAATTTGGCATGCAAAAATATCCCGGATAAAAATACAGATTAAATTCAGCATGAATGAAAATAATGTTCTCTGTATGTAGTTTGGGATACTTTCATGTGCCTTGAGAAAAAAATATTCAACAACGATACCTCTCTTAATCATATTTTAAAATATAAGATTTTTGCCATGATCTAAATAGTAAACTATATTTAGCATTGAGAAAGAATCAAGTATTTGATGTATTCTTTCAAAGTTCTTCAATGTTCGAACGAAGTTTCATTTGGAAGTCTTTGCAAGGCTGATAGTAATCATTTTAGTACGGTCTAAAATATTTAATTTCAAGAATAAAATGAATTTTGTATTTTTAAACGAGACTGACACAAAAAAATCTACGCTAATTATACAGAAAAACTGTATAAATGGTATCTGCCTGAATTTGTGAATTTTAATTGCTAGTCAAAAGTATTTTAGTTACAACAAACTGAGGTATTTAATAGAGTAAGCAGAAGTTTTCGTTTCATCATTAAAAGAAAATCACATAAGGCTTTGCGAAAAACCCTTCCACCGCACAGTGTATATATATAGAACGGCATGCCATTTGATATGAAATAAAGTAAAATGGCGGTATTGTATATGAACGAATTAATTGCAGTGCTTACCGCAGATCCATTGTCTTTATAGAGTGTCGAATAAAATCTGTCAAGTGATAATGGAATAGTAAGAATACAGAGCGCTAAAACTTGCACAAGAAGCATTCGAAGAAGGCTTTGTTCTGTTCTGCGTGTTGGTTTTCTCTGTGAACTTCCAGCAGTCGCTCTTGATGATCTATTTGTACCAGAGACATGATTTCCTCTCGTCAACGACTGGACACGACGTTGAGACTCACGTGCATTTATAATAGTTAGCAAGCCAAATAAAATCATGAGCACTACGGGAATCATAACGGTAATGCTAACAAACGATAAATCAGTAAGATAACGGCATATAACTGTTTTATCATAGCATGACAACGGTGCATCGGTAAGATTTGCTTCATAACAATAAAACATTTGAGCATAGAGAAGTATAGAAAGAGTGATAATCACTGCTGCCCATCGTTGAGCATTTTTGAGTGTACTTTTTCGTCGACGGATAGCATCGATACTTGATAAAAGCCATCGATCTATTGTAGCTAATACAATTAACCATGGAGCCATGGTTCTTGTTGAGAATACAAGATGAGCTCGAAGCTTACAAATCCATCCTATAGTATTGGTTGGATTAGTTGTCCAACTACCGATCATAATTGTGATAAGACCAGATAGAATAGAAACGAGATTCACAACGGATGCAGTCAGAAAAATCCAAGCACATGAATTTGAATGAAAAGTTCGCTGCGAGAGAACGAAAATATTGAGAACGTTTCCCACAACACCAAACAGAAAAATAAAAATTGCTGCATAACGATCTAATTGAATTGTAAGCGTGTCCAACAATTCAATGAGAGATTCGTTGTAAGATGATTTAACCATGCTTGTGTTTTATAGAAGTGGATATGATTCTTCTGAAAATAAATGATATAAGAATGCATATAGAATAACCTGTGTTCAGCATGTTCTTGTACTTGGCTGAGAGAAGAAAATATTTAAGCTGTTTGTTGAACACTTATCACTAGTAAACGTTATACTTTGATGAACGATTCTAGTATCTATTCTCGATATATCCAAGCTAACAGGGTTAAGCCGAGAGAAAAAGCTTGATTAAATACTGTAGCATAGAAATAATATATTCACATAGATGAATGTGAGTTTTAAAACCTGAGAAGTACTTATATGATTACACAGTTTTTTAAAATTTTTTTTTTACAGTTCGCTCTCTTTATTCAGTCTACTCTAAGGGTTTGCCCTACTTTGGTGGAAAGTAAAAATGTCGAAATGTTAAAGCTTCGAAATATACACTGCTTTTATTTTCGATATTTTTACTTTCGACCAAAGTAGGGTTCACCACTCTGAAGTCATCTTTCAATCACGATTATGTTAGAAGAAGAACACAATAAACAATACTTGCTACAGAAATTAACAAATAGGGGGAGGATGACAGAGAGAGGGAGAGAGAGAGAGATTTGCCTGTTTGAATTGAAAGAAAAACTCCATCTAGATATCACTATCACCGTGAAATAGCACTTCTTTATTATGTGCAAGCGTTCAATTTTGCTGATACTTTAAATGAAGACATTGACACATTCAGTTAGAAACGCACTGATTGTCTAGATTAACTTGCAGAACTACAAATTTGATCATCAATGTTTAGAAATAAAAACACATGGCATATAGAAGGTTTTAAATTTGTGATATTTGAAAATTTCTTCATAGGAAAACAGGCTATGTTTGTAAACCATTTTTAACACGATCCATTTATCTATTTGTATGTTTTAATAAGCAATCACTCTGCCGGAAAAAAAATATTATCGAACTTCTATTTATCCGAAAGCCGTTCTGTTTTTAAAACTGTTTCTATAGTTGAAATATTAAGAATCCATTACCTTTAACACTCAAACGCCTCAACATTGAACAGACAGTATCGTAAAAATATTTAGAAGCTCTAACACTCACGAAACAACATCATGTAGAAATATATTTAGGCGACACATTAAATGTCATAGTAAAATATTGTGTATGAGGCAATACATTTTGAGAGTAACCGTTTCAATAACAAATAATTTCATGCTGAAGAGTAATCACAAATTTATAATTATATCTAAAAACAAACAACTTCGATGATGAAACATGTGGTGACGAATATCATTTATGTATAGGAGATTATCTTATTGGGCAATTATGGTTGTGTGACAAATGTGAATTTCATATCAACTATATATATATATATATATGTCGTAGGATAGATTAAAATCCAGTACAGTTTTAAATCGAACTAGGACAGATTAAAATTTTAATTTTTCCTAGTTCAGATTAAAATTTTAAAGTGAACTAGTTGACTTCGAAATGCATTTTAATCTCAACTAGTTGACTTTAAAATTTTGATCTGAACTAGGACACATTAAAATGTTTAGTCAAATTATCCGTGGCTGGCTGGTTGAAGATACGCGTTGGGGTGACGACAAGGGTCTATGGTGAATGATGATGAGTGAAGATGGAACTATTACCCGCGTCCTCGCGCTCGCCTTCACTTTCACCTATTATCCATCCAAATGTGTATATTTCAATCTGAACTAGTTCAAATCAAAATATTTTAATCTGTCCTGGTTCAGATCAAAATATTTGAAACTGTTCTAGTTCAGTTTAAAATATTTTGATTTTTCCTAGTTCAGATCAAAATTTTAAAGTCAACTAGTTGAGATTAAAATGCATTTCGAAGTCAACTAGTTCACTTTAAAATTTTAATCTGAACTAGGAAAAATTAAAATTTTAATCTGTCCTAGTTCGATTTAAAACTGTACTGGATTTTAATCTATCCTACGACATATATATACGTAAACAATGTCGTAATAACATCAAATTAGAAGAATGAACATTTACTGGATAATTATGCTCATTCGGTAAATATACCTTGCCGACATGGATGCTGGAATTTCTTAAATAAGCACTCGACAACTTTAGCGAGTACCCATATTCTTCATCTACTTCCATTCATAGTAGAATATTTGTGGCAGTAATTTCTGTCCCATATTGCTAGAAACAACAAACAAATGTTTGAATGGAAAATCTATTTTCTATATTGTTGTATAAGTAAGTCTTGATACGACTGTAATAAATGGCGAGTTTGTTATGACGAGGAACAGATACAATTTTTTTAAACCTCAATTACGTAAACAAGTGTATTATCAAATTTTCAGAAGTATAGAAAATTTCTTGAACAGTAGCGGCAAAATCTGAGACACGAAATTACGACAAATATCAATGTTGCTAATAAATAAATGCGGAAACATCGGATTTGCATCCGATTGTTATGTGTACTTCAAAAAGCGAAAATGTACATCCATTTTTTTCTATAAGGCATAGATCTCATCAAGTCTTTTTGACTAGCTACAAAACCAGGCATTTGAGAAACCCCCAAACTGATGGTCATCTGAAACATATCTAGGCAATTTGGTTTCTAGATGCAGTTTTTGTGTATTTTGAGACCTTTTTCAGTCAATGTTTCGTTAAAAAACTACAATTTTTTGCAAAACTAATATCAGATTCAAAATCAGCGTTAAAAACTGAGTCGATTTATATGTGCTGTGGATAATTCTGAGAAAAAAACGTTTTTTTGAAAAATCCCTGTACTCCCCCTCAGGGATTGTCCGGTCAATAATGACAATTTTTCGATAACTCAACCATTTCTTGACGGATCCTTCTCATCTTCGAACTCGACTGAGACATTGATGAGGCTGAACTGTGTAGAAAATTTCATCATGATCTAACTCTCCTTTCGAAAGTTATCGTGTAAACGGACGGCCGGACGGACACCCTGACCGATTCTAGAGTGTACTCCCTTTTTGAGCACACAAAAACCACTTATGATATAGAAATTGCTTGAGATCTACATCACATGTTTCTCTGCTAGGCACGAAAAATATTTTGTGCTTTCTGTTTATCGAATTATCTCTCACTCGGGATCTTTGATTTTCTCGGTGCATTCTTGGATCAATTTTCACATGATCTTGTTCGAAGTTTTACATCTTTGAAAACTAAAACTGGGCTTCTCCCCTAGTGGTTATCATACAAAAATGAAACGAACGATCAAAACAATTAATTTGTTTTGCATGAATACTAGATTTTTTGAATGACTTCGTCAAAAGCTTTATTGATGGAAAAAAAGAAAAGAATCAGTAATTTTTTACAATTAATTACCAAGGAAAAATATTGTTTTTATTTCTGTAATAGACAAGCCTGGTGACGCACGATTTTTTGTTTCAATAGTTCGAATAAATCATGTAATGCTTTACGAAATACATGACCACCACACAATGTATAAATATAGAAAGGAATTCCATTCGACACGAAATAAATCAGATCGGTTATATTGTAGGAAAAATAATCTACGGCTTCGTAAATTGCAGATTTATTCTCTCCTGAAAAGAACGAATAAAAGTTTTGAATAGATAATGGTAATGTCAATATAGCCATTAGTAAGACTTGTACAAGAAGCATTCGGAGAAGGCTATGATCTGCTTTTCGTTTTAAATTTCCGTGTGGATGTTCACCAGTTGTTGCTGATGATCTAATTGCAATAGCCGTAGTATTCCGTAGTGCCAGCGACTGAAGACGACGTTGCGACTGACGTACATTTAAAACAGTTAACAAACCGAATACACTCATAAGGAATAAAGGTATTAATATTGTAATGACGGCAAAGGATAAATTAGAGAGGTAAAGACATGCAGCGGTTCTACTGTTACACTTTAGAGATGTATTGACAAGATTTGCTTCATAGCAAAATAGTTGTTGAATGTAGAGAAGTATGGAAAGAATGATAATCACTGTTGTGCATCGTTGAGCATTTTTTAGTGTACTTTTTCGGCGACGATTAGCATCGATACTCGATAGAAGCCATCGGTCAATTGTAGCTATTACGATTAACCACAGGGCAATGGTTCTTGTTGTAAATACAACATGGGCACGGATTTTGCAAATCCATCCTATGTAGCTAGTTGGATCAATCGCCCAACCACTAATTATTCGTGTAAGTAGGCCAAATAGAATAGAAATGAGATTGGCAATTGATGAAACCAGAAAAGACCAAGCACATGAATTAGAACGAAAACATCGTTGTGAGAGAACAAAAATATTGAGCATATTGCCTACAACACCAAAAATAAAAATACAAATTGCAACATAACGATTACAAGTAGTTGAAATTGTCTGTAATAATTCAATAAGAGACTCGTTATTGGATGACGAAGACATGTTTATTTTTAATAGTAGTGGATTCAATTCTTCTGAAATAAATGATATAAGTATGATTTTAATAAGTTTTATTATTATTTTGAGATGATTTGTCAAAGATACAGAATATGATTGAAGTGCAAGCTTAATACCAGCATGTCTTATGTCAATCGAACCGAGATTCATTGTGGTATGTTTTCTAGACGAATGCATTCCTATCAGTTTCATAGGTAGCATACTACTAACCAAATTCCCGTGTATTCAATTGAAGTCAAGCATTTTTTTAATTAATTAATCATATCCTACAGAATCGCGTCGCAAAAAAGATACAAAACTTTACAAACATCTATTTTGCTAGATAATAGCATGCTAGTGTGTTCTTCTACGGTTAAGCCTACTAAATCTTAATGTCAGATTATGTTCATAATTTTGCCAGTTATTCCTACAAAATCATGGTAATGACAACGGTTGAACTAAGTGGATGAATATTTAAAAGATGAAATCAAATATTTTTCTAACATTCTAACCTTCTATGACATACGTATGTAAACAAAACCTTGGGATAATTTTGTAATCAGCACGGCTAGTAGCCTCAGTAATAACTTGCATGCTTTACTGAGAAAAATTTATTCTTCTTTTCATAATTTTCTCTGTGATGTTCATTTTTCTTCGGTAAAAGAAAATTCTTCTAGAGTAAGAATGTCGGCTTGCTCTCAATACGCCCTCCTAGTGGCGTAATGCCAATATTCAAAAGCAAAAATAGTTAACATAATGATTCCTCAGAGTTTTTCGGTAAAATTAAAAAAAGCCAACAGTTGAGGCACCACTTATCGCTTCATCTACAGGTTTTGTGATGCCTCGACCTTCGACATTTTTCTGTTCGACCAAATTCAAGATAATCATCCGCTGAAAACTATTTAGCTCGAAAAAGCTTCGCATCTCATTCAAGAATATATCACCAAGCTGCTAAACTATTATGATCCACGACTTTGCAGAAACGATATCATTCGGAAATATATACGGGCGTCACATCGTATATCAAAGTAAAATATTTGATATGAGGCAAAATACTCTGAGAATAAATATTCAAATAACAAAGAGCTTGATGCTGCAGATAATCACCAATTTATAATTATATTTAAACAGAAACGATTTCGATAATGAAAGATGTTGTGAAGAACATCATTTATGCATAGGAGAATATCCTATTTGATAATTATGCTTGTGTGACAAATGTGAATTTTATATCAGCTATATATATATATACGTAAACAATGTCGTAATAACATCAAATTAAAAGGATGAACATTTACTGGATAATTATGCTGATTCGGTAAATATACCTTGCCGACATGGATGCTGGAATTTCTTAAATAAGCACTCGACAACTTTAGCGAGCACCCATATTCTTCATCTACTTTCATTCATAGTAGAATATTTGTGGCAGCACTTTCTGTCCCATATTGCTAGAAACAACAAACAAATGTTTGAATGGAAAATCTATTTTCTATATTGTTGTATAAGCAAGTCTTGATATGGCTGCAATAAATGGTAAGTTTGTTATGACGACGAACAGTTAAACTTTTTTTAACATAAATGACTTAATCGAAGAGATTATCAAAGCTATCGAAAATTATGTGAACGGAAATATCTGTTATGATAATGATACATGTCTATGATAGAGAAAAAGTAAGAATATATTCAATTATTTATTCGCAGTGAGTTCTTTTCTATGCATCGAGAAACAATTCTATCGACACATTAGCGTTTGGCGTAGTATTACAACAAAGTTATGCAATCCTTTTCGAAAAATAGTTTCACCACACAACGTGTAGCTATATATAGAAAGGCATACCATTGGATATAAAATAAATTAAAACAGTTCGATTGTATGAAAAAGCTTCAATGGCTAGGTCGCTAGGAGATTTGTTTGTTGCTGAAAATGACGCATGAAACTTTTGAATAGATAATGGAAGAGTAACAGTCGTTATTAACAACAAAACTTGAAAAAGAAGCATCTGCAGAAGACTGTGACCTGTTTTTTGTTTCTGTTTCTGTTTCTGTTTCTTCGCTGTATTACCATTAGCTGGTCCCGAAGATTTATTCATAGTAAATTTAATAGTATGTACCGTTAATGTTTTAATACGATGCTGACATTGATGTACATTTGCAATAGTTAACAAACCAAATATAATCATTAGCAGTGTCATTATTCTAAAATTCTAGAATAGATATATATATATCATTTCATTTCATATTACTATAGATGAAATTTTAGAATTTTGTTGAGGGTGTTGGGTGTAGTTGTGGGCATGTGATGGGTGCGAGTGGGTGTGGGTGTGGGTACATCTATATTTTTGATTGCCACCCACACCCTCAAGATCTGTTCATACCGATCCAGAAAATATCAACAATCTACTGAAAAACACATATTTGTAATCAACCACCATCTTGAGGGTGTGGGTGTGGGTCTTGATATGAGTGACAATCAGAACTATAGATGCACCCACACCCATAACCACACCCACCCAGTTATAGAATTCTGAAAATTCTAAAATTACATCTATACTAACAGGAAATGAAATGATATATATCTATTCTAAAATAATGACACGTCTCATTATAACATAATATTTCATGTCAAAAAAAGTAGACTCATGCAACAATGTGCCGAAAGAGAAAATACAAAAACAAAAATATTCCGTGTGAGACATATATTTCATAAAGTTATGATGATAAAGGTCGTATTTAAGAAGTATCAGTCGAGTTAAAAAAATGCGTTGTTTATATTAAAATAATAGGACATTTTCGTGGCTATCATTCATAATACATAGAAATACACGCTTTAAAAAAATATTATAATAGAAGTGATTTTAGGGATCACTCGACATGGATAGAATCAAGAAAATAATTTAGCAAGATTACGACTTTTAAAATGATAAGCAGACTAGGGCTAGATCGTAGGTTCAATATACATGTGTGGGAAGTCAAAAATGTTATAGAGAATGGCGAGTGATGAATACATCTTGATTCTGGAGTTAATTCAAATGAGATTCATTCATAGTAATAGCTTTTTGCGGATAAATGTATTCCGCACACAGGTTTAACCGTTCATACAGATTAATACTAAATTGCGAGTATTCACTGTTCAATCAACGCATTCATTTTAATTCCTAATAATAGTCATTGTCTGAGTTGATAGCTAGTAAACTTGTTAAATAGTCTAGGACATAGGCGGCGGACCCATTAGGCTTGGGGAAGATCAAGCCTCCCCTAAAAAATGGAGAAAAAAGCTTAGGGAGGTTTATTTAATTTGAAAACAAATTGTAGAAGCTGACCACCTATTAGTACCAGATTGTTTTATTTTTAATTTCACCTCTCATCATCCTCATCCTCTGAAAAAAATTTAGCCTTTCCTAGATTGAAATCGTTCCGCCACCGTTGGTTGATCATAGGCAACAGCTTCAAAGCAGACATACATTTGAAATTGAGAACATAAAACATATCACCTACCGCGGCAGGTGATATGTTTTTAAATATTATTTGTTGCGTACGTTACTAACAATGTAAGACTGTGTGGATATGCATCTTGTGAAGGTTAAACTAGGAGAAAGTCGAGGACATCTGAATCATTCTATTAACAAAAACTTATTGACAAGATACTCCAGAAAGAAATATCATTATTAATGATAAGATGTCATTTTTAAGACGGTTCTCTTATCCATTCAGAAAATGTCTAACTGTTGATGCGTCTAGTCTAAAGATGCAACTGCTGCTCGCGACTTTTAGTCAACGCAAGTACCCAGGAGAATGAATCCTAGCCTAGGATCCGATGAGTTTCGGTCGGTTCCTATTGGAATCCGACGAAGCGCTTCGGAAGGCGCAATAAAACTATCGGATTATCGTTGGATTCCTGGTTCCGGAATCGATATCGGATCCTAGTATCGGAAACTGATAAAATCCGACATCAACCGTCAATCAGAACCGGAATGCTTCGGATTTCATTGGTTCCGACAATCGGATATGATTGGAAATATGACTGTCGGATCTGACATTGATTCCTCAACCAGGAATCCAACGGGATTTCGTCGGATGGTAGGACCCCATAGAATCCGATGGGATTCGGTATCGGATTGATTCATCTGGGTACTTGTTATGCCATCTTTGAGTGATCTATTATTTCATAACAGCAAATAGTAATACAGGGATTTCGTATACTGTTCGAATCATCGCTAAGTTCTCATACTACTTGAATAAAAACAATTCTATTTTCACAACCAAGGGCGATAGCTATATTTGTCAAGATTGTCATCAACAGTATTATATACTATCGTTTTGTATAGTTTGCGTGTTCGGTAAACAAAATAGTATATACACACTTTACTGTACCATACAGAAATGATAGTAGTCAGAGACGTGACCTTCCTACCGCTTATTATAAAATGAAAAATGACTGTGTTCACTTGGCCTACATTAGTCACTTGACCTGATCAAGATTTTGTTTTCTTCAAAAAATCATAGTATGAGAATCATTCTGAATATTTTATCTTTCAATAAAATTATATCTTACGTGTCCAATACTCTAATTCTATGAAAATGTTTACTGAGATTTTGTTTTTGCCGTTTAGAAAATGACAACTATAATATTGAGTACTAATTATGAGTATATGGATAAAGAATCGATTGATAAAGATCTATTTTGTGACTATTGTAATAATCCTTTAGCTGATCCAATTTCAACACCATATAATCATACATTTTGTCGCGGCTGTATTGAAAGTGAATTTAAAAAATCCGGTAGTACTTGTGCAAAAGCTGAATGCAAAAATAAATCAACGACAATGAATGATTTAATTCCAATTACTGAACGCATCGTTTTAAATATGCTCGACCGGCTTCCTGTCAAATGTACTGTTTGTGGAACATTGAATATTCAACGTGGTTCTTTTGAACAGCACGCCGCAAAATTTTGTTCGAAATTAACTGTTAACTGTCCAGCAGCGGATCTTGAATGTCCATGGAGTTGATCGAATGATCAATTACAGCAACATATATCAATATGTGCTTTTGAACAAATGCGTCCAATGGTTGCAGACATCATAAAAAATAAACACCAATTAAAAGAACAAATTCAAAAAATGTCTGAACAATGTTATAAAAATAATTCATCATATATAAAAGAATTACAAGAAACAAATCAATGTTTGAATGCTCATGTCGAACAATTGAATGAAGCTCTATATCATGAAAAAATAAGATTAAAAGATTTACAAACAGAATTTCAACAGTTGAAAGCATCGATTCTAGAAGATAGAGCTCAAATTAATCAATTACAAAATGAACTTCAATATGAAAGAGAAGATCTAACACGTATTGATGAATGTTGCAATAAACAAGAAATACAAATTAATCAATTAGCTGATAAAATTAACACCAAAGGAGGTAATAATCACAAGATCGTTGATCTTACAATAAACGACTTCGATCTTCTTTCTTTCTAGTTCTATCTACATATGAAAATCCTCAACTTGAACACTGTTTATCAAAATCTCAGCCACATACTGCCATTGATTTATCTGAACAACAATTATTTGATCGTGATATTGAAACTGTAATTAAACAAGCCGTAATCGAGAAAGAATGTACAAGACTGGATTTAGGTTATAATGCAATAACAGCCAAAGGTGCAGCAATAATAGCTGAAAGTTTGAAATATAATACAACATTAGAAGAATTAGATTTTCATAATAATCATGTGTCCGATCTTGGTGTGCACTCACTAGCTGAAATTCTATCATCGAATAATTCAATATTAAGGGCTCTTGGTCTTGGATCAAATGGCATCACAGATAATGGTGCTGAACATTTGGCTGAAATGTTAAAAACAAATCAAACAATAACATGGTTAGCTTTGGCTGGGAATCAAATAAGTGATCGCGGTGTTAAATTATTAGCAAATACACTTGCATATCAAAATACAAGTTTACTTGTGCTATCACTTCATGTTAATAAATCAATTAGTGATGCAAGTGTAGATACAATTATTGACATGTTACAACGCAATAAATCATTAAAAAAACTTTGGATACAAGATTGTAATATATCTGACGATGGAAAACGAAGACTTCGAGAAGCTGCTAAAATAAAACAAGGTTCTCTATTATACATGTAATTAGTATTACATTATTGTTTTTTCTTTCTTGTTTTAATAATACATTTCAAAATAAAATAATTGTTTAAGAAAATAGAATGAATCTCATTTGATTTCGAATTGATTGAAGTCTTAGAAGAAGATAATAATAATATTAATTTCCCGTGTTTCACAAATCAGAAACTATCGATTGTCAAAATAGAATTTTTGTCTAAAAGTCTTTCTATAAGAATCAAAGAAAGCCAATTTTCATTCAGCGTAATTCACAAGTTTCATTACAAAGGTTAAAATCGAACGAGAGCAGTCTTCATTCCATTGAATTATCATTCACAATGAATCAGAGCACATCATGCGGTGATATAAAAACGCCCTCGAGCTTGCACCATTAATTTGCCATGACAAACTCATTCGCCTCCTTCGTAATAAATAAAATAGAAAACACTCTTTCATTGTTTTAGCACTAACATGATTCAATTGGCATGGTGATTCACTATTTTGCTCGAGTCCTGCGCAACTTTCTTTCTATTCTTTTACTTTTCTTGCACAATCATAAAGAAATACGAGGTCTTTTCACTCCTATATATATATGATATTTTAAAACGGTAACTTCACATACCAAGATGAACGACAAAGTCAATACAACAAGTGAACAAAACGGCAATTCCAGCTGTGTTGGTACCTGTACCAATTTACATAATGACGCTCTTCTTTCTCTTGGTCCGAAAAATCGTTACAGTGAAATACCAAGCATTCGACTTTTTCTTGCTAAATACAATACATATCCATCTACACTGGACTGTGATAATGATGATGAGGATACTCCTTTTCATGCAACAACTATTCTAAACTATATTCGTGATGAATTAAAACACGATATTACTAAAGATTGCGTTTCACGAAGATATAATCGCACTGCAAAACAAAAATATGTTCATTCACGTCTATCGGATCTAGGTAATGGCATCATGATTAGTTTTAATGGTTCACATTTGGATTCAGAAATTCTCAATAAGAATCAATTAAAAGCTGATTATGATGGAAAATATTTTTTAGTTGTATCTGATTTAAAAATTTATCATTTACCTGAACATGATTCATTTGCGCAAGATTTAGCAGATCGTTTTTCTCAAATGACTGTCTGTTCATCTAAATCATGTATGTTACAAATGGTTTGTCGAAATCAATGCGGCTATTATCTCGATGGAATTCGAGTTAAAAAGCCTTTAATTACTGATCTAGCTCTTCATTATGGCAATAATTTTCTAACAACTCATGATAAAATTCTCAATGATTTAAATAAAAAAGAATCAAAAGGCATTGTTCTTTTACATGGTGTTCCGGGTTCAGGTAATTGTAAATTCAAATTTCTACTATGGAAAATTAATTTTTCTGACTTTTAAATAGGGAAAACACATTATATTCGATATTTAATTCAAGAAGTTCAAGATAAAACATTGATTTATGTTTCACCTGACATGGCCAAAGAAATTTCATCACCAGAATTTCTTCCTTTTCTTATGCGTCATGAAAATGCTATTCTTATCATTGAAGATGCAGAAAATATTATTCAAGATCGAAGTTCGTCTTCATTACCATCACAAGCCGTTGCTAATCTTCTCAATTTGTAAGTTAACTGATTTTATTCTCGAAATTTCGAACTCATTCGACGTTTTTTCTTTTTTATTATTATAGATCCGATGGTTTATTAGGCGATGCTATGCATCAACAAATTATAGCTACGTTTAATTGTGATTTAACAGCAGTTGATCCAGCTCTTTTACGTAAAGGGCGATTGATTGCTAATTATGAATTTAACAAATTAGATTTGGAAAGTTCAAAAATTTTATCAGATAAATTAGGTTTCGGTACTGAAAGTGTAACTGAACCAATGACTCTTGCTGAAATCTATAACCAAAGTGACAACAACAATAAATCGATTGCTTAAAGAATGGAAATGCAGAGATATGAATTGGTGGCGGCTCATATAACAAAGCTAAAATCTCTTCTTCGAAAAAAGATTTGAAATTCTCAATCAAGATATCTTAGTCCGAAGCCAACTTTACTTTGGCGTCACAACTACAGAAATTTCAGATCGATATATTTACACACCGTCTTTGTCGTGATCCATATTATCGTCTTTTCCCTGGCTTCAATATGTCTCACATTAGCATTTCGCTCGTTGTTTCGTGATTAATGATGTTGACACTCATTGTTCCAATATTTTTGCTTGTCATATTTATATAAATATATATACGGTGATACGAAAAAAGAACTATTATTTAACAGATTGCACGATACTTTCGCACGCCACACTTGGGCACAATATGATCTTATTTCTCTTCTGTTCCTAAATTATCTTAGCAGTTTCAATAAACTTTGTCGAGAAATGATTGTGAAAGAATTTTTGCGAAAACGAGAATTGCAAACAAATGAATAATAGAGCAAGATAAATATTACTTTATAAATAAACAAAAGCAACCAAGTAAAGAAAACTACATAAATTATGAGCAATCGAACAAATATTGATTTAGCCATTTTAATGTGAGAATCTTTTACCATAGCTTTTATTCACGCATCAGAATAATATATAGAAACATTTATCTTTTATTTATTACTAATAGATGGTTTATTTCTATTGTATTATCACGCTCATTTGCCAGTTAACGGTCCTTTTTTCGATACTAAATCATCCTCTAATTTTGATAAGTCATTTTATTCATATCAGCTGTTCAAATAACACAAGAACTGAACAGAAAAAATATGATATTGCACCAAGTGTTTGCGCAGAAATATCATGTCATGACATCCAGTGAATGTTTCTATGTCAGGTCTACACTATACTGTTCGATAGAGATTTACTCAATGTAAGTAAAATCTCACGTTCTATAATGTCTATTGATCGTGAACTTTTTAATCATTTATGTCAGACAGTATAGATTTACTATATATTATCTTACAATCAACTCACTTGAGTTATTTTTACTTATTCTGCATTGATTTACTTGAATTACAAAAACCATTCACGTAGTCAGTTTCACTGAGAATGGATTCTGTCTTTAGCATCTCCTATTAAATTTTGCTTCCATTCAAATTAACACACCAATGAAAAGAAAAAGAGTAAGAAAAAAAGGATATCATCTTTTTTTATGACGCCGATCAGGGTATACTTTTTCATCTTACCAAAATTCCTACTCATTAAATGCATAACAATTTACAAATATAAAATGCGTTGAATAACTTTTTATGCATCATGATATCATGTTTTTCAGATGACTCAAAACGTTTACAAATGTTGCATTGTTTCTGTTTGATTTAACTAGCATCTGTGTTTACAGTTTCCGTATTGTGTCTCGATGTCATTCTTATATCATTTTCACCAGCATCGTGAACAGTTACTTTTTGTTTAGGTTTAACAACTTTAAAATAATACACCAGGCCACCACTGACGGCTAGAGTGATAGGCAAGCCGAGACCAAGTACAAGACCAAGAATCAAGGGCAAATTAGGTTTTTTTGCTAAATAAAAATAAAACTAATATAAAATTGCACGATCATAAAATTGAAAATTAAATATTCACTAGGTTCAGTTGTAGATTCTGCTGTTGGTGGAGAAGAATTGATGGGTGTTGCTGATGTCATCTAAAACATATGTTAATTAAATTCGACAATTTCATATGAATAGTTAGATTTGTTCAATTAAATTTTAAAAAAGATCATTTTATGCATAAACTAAAATACGTAAATGCATAGATTTGAATTAGGTACATCTAATGTCGTACATGCTGATTAATAATATAATCTGTTATTTTTTTAAACAAAAAAAGGAAAACAGTGCAAGTACTTACTATTGCAATTGTATCACTAGTTATGATGGTACTCAATATTACGTTCGCTTCTGTATTTGTTCTAGTGAAAAAGCAAAAGAAATATTAAATATCGATGAATTATATACGAGCAAAACATATGCTATTGTTGCTTCGAATGTTTCATTGTCGATAATCGAATGGCTAATTTAAAAGTTTGAAATTATAATTTTTATACAATTAACTAATACAGTTTTTAGCTAGCTGATGGCATCATAGTTACATTTAAAAATAATGTGGAAATTATTGGGTTTGCCGTAATTGCACTATTGGTGTATGTATTACTAAAATCTATTATAGAGCCAAAAGTCGTATAAGAAAATTGTGCAGTGGTCTAAATTTTTTATTCATTGGTATAGAGATCGATAAAATTTTATCCTTCTCAGAGATTAAGCTGACTTTTGATTATTAATTCATTAAAATATCATTAACAACGATATTTTACTAACACAACTATGTTTCTCATATATCTATACGAATTTCATCTAACCGTTCTTTGACTTCTGAAAGCTTTTTGTTTTGTAAGAGATGAGAACATTCTGAATTAAATTGGTCTTTTCGAAGATGTCTACGTCAGTATGTACATGTCAACAAGTTAGGATATCGGTGAAGCGTGTTCGCGATTAGAACATTAGAACAATTAAAAATATTGATGATTAGTTCTTTTAAAAATAGGATAAGATATATGTCTGCAACTAACGACCATTCAATGTAACAATTATTTATAGAAGGTCTTACTTATAATTATCGGAGCTGTTCATATGTTTTTACATTCTAGAAAGTCATCATTTTTTAAGGCAAATTTTATTTTGTTAAAACTGAGTCACAAGTACTCATAAATATAACAGATGGGCATTCTCTTGAATCATGAATACAAGATGTCAACCTGATAAAACGATTATCATTGGCCCTAAGATGAATCTTTTGATTTAAATATTTTCACTATTTGATGCTGAATAGTGTTTAGACTCTTAAACGTTAGAAAACATATAATCTTATTGATCGTTTGTATTTCTAATCAATATTGTGAGAAATAAAATAGCGTACATTATGGGGTGTGGACCAATCATACATGAAGAAGTATCTTTTTTAACTAATAACTAGTTTAGTGGTGGAACGTTTCATGAACGATAATAATTATGTATATAGGAACATTATCATAGTAATAATGATTCATTGACGGTACGATGTGGTCTGCGAATAGAATAGACAATCTTCGACGCGCAATACATTAATACATTTCACTATTAACTTATGATTAGATACGTCACACACATAGATTCTAGAAAAGTACTTTTGAAAATGATAGTACACCTGTCGAATCACCTGAATATCGATACTGTTTGTGGCACTGATACAAAATGAATACCGATCAGGATAAAAAAATCTGTCATTTGCCTCTTAAATGCAGTGCATTAGCAAATCAGCAAATGCTTGATTTGCATTATTATATAATAATACGTATTTGTTAGCTGACAATATAACTTCTTTTGACTAAAGAGTAAAACTAAAAGCATGACACAGACTTAACTCTATCACAAGACAAAGATTATTTCTTACTATTTTCAAGTTTATCAAATTACTTCTCTAGGTAAAATGTGCAAGTTTACAATTGTGGTGAATCGAAAATTGTGAAATCTCTGTTAACTCAAAATTTTGATTTACTCAAGTAAGTAATTTTATTGGCACATAACTTTTCGTCTCAACCTTAAAATAAAATCATGCAATGCTTTACGAAATACAGTTCCACCACACAATATATATGGAAAGGCACACCATTCGATACAAAATAAGTCAAAACGGCTAAATCGTATATGAAGCTATTGATGGCCTGTCGCGAAGACGATCCATTTTCTCCCGAGAAAGATGAATAAAACTTTTCAAGAGATAATGGAAGAGTAGAAGAATAACTTGAAACAGAAGCATTCAAAGAAGACTGGGATCTGCTTTTTGCGTGGCTCTTCCTTCTGAATTTTCATTTTGTGCTCGTGATGATTTATTCACTGTAGGGTTGACATTCCGTGCAGTTAGTGTTTGAATACAACGCTGACTTTTACGCACATTTGCACCAGTTAACAAACCAAATAAAACCATAGTGAACAAAGGAAGTGTAATTGTAGTTGCAGCAAATGATACATCAGTAAGATAACGGCATACAACGGTTTTACCATAACATTGCAAAGATGTATCGGTAAGATTCGCTTCATAACAATAAAACATTTGAGCATAAAGAAGTATGGAAAGGCTGATAATCACTGCTGTCCATCGTTGAGCATTCTTTAATATACTTTTTCGTCGACACCCAGCATCGACACGTGATAAAAGTCATAGATCTATTGTAGCTAATGCAATCAACCATGGAGCCATTGTTCTTGTGCTGGATACGGCATAAGCACGAAGTCTACAAACCCAGCGAATATAGGTGGTTGGGTCAGCCACCCAATCACTTAGCATTCGTGTAATAAGACCAGTTAGAATAGAGATCAGATTAACGATTGATGCAACCAGAAAAATCCAAGCACATGGATTAGCACGAAGTGAACGTTGTGACAGAACAATGATATTGAGAATGTTTCCCACAATACCAAACAGAAGAATTATTATTAATACGTAACGATTAAATTGAGTTAAAACAGAATCTAATTCTATGATAAGAGATTCATTATATGACGATTGGCACATACTCTGTCTCTGAATCCACTACAAATGAATGACATAAAATAGAAATTCAACAACCCTTATTATATTCCCTCTATGTTAAGAGAAGTAGACTGTCTTGAGGGTGTTCAAAATCATAATTTATAATATGTTATTAATTGGAGCTCTGATCTCTCAGCAGGTTTTTCTTTGAAATAGAAAGTGTATTCAAACAAATAGCCGTCAAGATGTAAAAGAAATTTCCGTGATCGTATTAATATTACGAATAGTTGCAAATTAATAATATGTGCATGTCGAGATATGCCTATTTTTCAGATTTTCGAGCTGAAAACTTTTCTCTGAAATTATAAAAATCATCTAAATTTTAAAATAACTACTCGAGCGTATCGTATCGTAAAAGTTGACAGACATCATAAGATCTTGTTCTCTGATGAAAAAACATAATGCGCTCCCATATCAAATATGAGTTTTCATGCATTGGACTATATCAGCAGATTAGTAACCGTGAAAGTTTCACGATAAATTTTCAAGTGTTCTATATAGAGTTATTTTAGCTAAGAATTTTTATTACCGAAAAATAGCTTAAAAAACACCCCATTAATATCATTTTAAGCGTGACTTCTGCCTACGACACGTTGAGTATATAGAAGCAAAATGAAAATTTTTGAAATTGTACTTTGAATTATTAATTCGATTAATCATTTTATGATAATTTTAATAGCTATATCTCGAGTAGAGTATAACTAGGAGTAAAATTTCTAAATTAAATATCTTTTGCTGCTAAACGTAGAATATCGGTCGAGGTCGCTAGGTTAAATATTTGCAAATACGGTCTAGAATTTTTGACTGATTCAAAATTGATTGGAAACATAATTATTCAATAAGTATAAGCATTGAATATCTACAATTAATTTCTTTGAACTATGATGAATTTTGTTTAATATCCGGCCATAACTTACGAAGTAACAAAATACGGATGTTATTCATTTTTATTTGGACATTACTCCTATTAACTTTGTTTTGTCTCTTATTCAATCTAAGCCATCAGGATATAATATTTAAATTGATAATTAATAATGTTATGTGAAATGTTAGAACTAATATATAAAAATTAGTTGCTGAGCTTCTAAAACACGTTTGGACTGCAAAATACTTTTGTTTATTTAAGTGACTTCTATACCAAATTTAAATATCTCGTTTATTTTGATACATCTTTAGGTTTTAACGAAACTTATATCATATTATCAGTTAACGGTTACTAATGCTTCATAAATATGGCACAGTTATACGTTTTATTTGTACTGAAAATTGTATGATGTGTTTATTAAACACTCAAATGGCAATATGAAATTATAAGCTGTAAACAACAAGGTTTCAACGACAAACATAATTGAGCTGAAATCCCTTTAGTGTTTTTTTTATTGAAGCTTCAAACAACAGGCAGAGAGTCATGAGAAAGAATTACAATACAGGAAGTAAACGAGTCTAAACTAGCTTTTAATTATAGTAAAAATGTTTTCTATTATGCTATTCGATAAACTCACTCAAATTTTCTCTAAATATTGCCGCAGGTCTCTTATTTTTGTGTCGTAACAATAAAAAGTAGTTGTAAAAACGTTTTTATCTCTTGTACTTTACCATAATGCTTTGTATCAATCGTGTTTCTAGCGAACGATAGACAAAGATTTTTTCTCATTTTTACTTATAAACATAAAGTTCTTCGGTTTTTTTTGAACATTTTCTTTCTTGTATGTGTAACGTTCATTCTTATCTAAAAAAACTGTTCATAACCCAGGTAAACTAATCCGACATCGGATTCCATCGGATCTCTTAGGATCCAACATTCCGACAAAAACCCGACGGATTCCTGGTTGAGGAATCGCTGTCGGATCCGACGGACAAAATCAATTTTCTTAATCAGGAGTGAATAAGCATCTGATGCCATCAAAATACAAGGGTTGTATGCTAGCGTCGGTTTCCGTTGAATTCCGACACAGGTTTTTCTCGGATTCCAGCGGCAGGGATCCGACTGTAAATCCGTTTCCAGGAATCCAACGGAATTTCATCGGTTTTATTAACATTTTAATGATATCGGATAGGATTCCCTCTGGGATCTTGTCGGATCCTACTATCGGAATGATTCTTCTGGGAATAGCGAATTTGAAAGGATGAGTGATTTCAACGTCCTTATAATTACGTATTTAACTTAACTCTCCAAGCCGTTGAAAATAGTTAAATAAATATACGCCAACAACACTGCAATATTTAATTAATAAAAAGTTTTCGAATTTAATATAATACCGGAAGTTGCTTGGTCTAGGTTGATTGAAATATCATGTATATGAAATTTTACTCTTAAATAATTTATAAAAATCATTTGTAGGATAAAGATCTACAAGATTGTTCGGTTGGCCGTCCAAAGGTCGAAAGGAAAAACGTCGAAAAATCGATGGGGAAAAAAGTCGAAAGGGAAAAATGTCGAAAAAAAAATATTATTGTGGAAAATGATTGAAAAGAGTGTTTTCGAATTCTGACTTGAGAGAAGTATGTTTCATTATGTACGTTAATACTAACATATGATAATCGAAATATATTCATTTACTATTAGCAATTGTTTTCCTTTTTGTGAATTAATAAATGAAATCGTTGGTGACTTTGATTGAGGTTCATCTTCTGAAGATGCGACAGCTGTACCCATAATGATAGAATTTTAGCTATTTATTTACTCTTATGTAGGGGTTGTTTATTTAATTTATANTCGTATACGAAATGCAGTGCGAAGCAAGAATCTGGATTTCCAACGAAAAATCATGAATTCGAAGAAATCTTGAATACTTTTTATGTAGCCATAATGGTATTCACCACTGAGAAAACTCTATTCCTACTTAGCAATACATTCTCGAAGATCGATTTCGATTGAACAATTAATTATCTCTATGATTCATTATCTTAGATCAGCTGTGAATGAATAGACCACAGTTGCTAACATATGTTGATGACGTCATTTATTTAATTATCTTAAAGACCTGAAACGATAAAAGCCTTTCAAAATCGTCATTTTCGAACGGTATTTTTAGGCGATCGAAACGTCCGATTAAAAATTAGAAAAAAAGATTTCTCAAGTTCGATCTTGATACCCTCATCTCCAGTTTCAATGAGTTTTCTATGATTTATGGTTCTCGAGATCATTGCGACACAAAACGACGACTTGTGGCGCATACGTCAGGTAAGTAAAAAACAAAACTCGTGACGGACTACATAAATGCTTCTGCTTCGCATCGCATTAAAAAATCCTCGAAGGACTACATAAATGCTATGCTTCGCATCGCATTAATTAGGAGACATATAATGCTAGATTTTCATCCTAAGACATGAGAACAATTAATGTCATAGATGCACGTATATTCATAAATAAATAAAGGTCATAACCCAGGAATACAACTATTCATACTGTGATTTTGTCAAAATTTTCATTAAAACCTATTTTTGAACCATGAAAACACGAGCCATTCATTAGCAACTGAAGATCAATAATTCAAAATTAATGCAATCTCAGTATAATTAAATGTCTATGTCAATTGGATGTAATGATCTTTCTTTCTTAATAATTTATTTATTTATGTGAAATCTAGATATTAAAAACAAAAAGAAGGTCGTTCTTCTGCTCTAATTGACTTCGATTTCTGATTTGAGACCTAAAAATATTTCTATGACATCATCATTTTTAAGAAGCAGAAAATAGTTTTAAACTCATTTATTTTATTTAATAAAATAAAAAATATTCTATTTTTGTTGACAGAAAATTGTCTTTTTCGTACGTTCAATTAGAGCAAAAAATGCTTGCCGAAAAACACAGCCACCACTTAATGTATAAATATAAAATGGCATTCCACTAGCCAAATACGTCAATAAAATTCCAAATGCATAAATAGAACTTTCAATTGTATCTGTAACTGTCGTTCTAGGCTGATCTATTGTAATTGTCGAATATATTTGTTGTATTGCCTGTGGAAGTGTGAATAAAGCCAAAAAGCTAATTTGTACAAGAAGCATTATTAATAAATGGCGATCGAGTCGTCGAAATCGCTGCCGTTTATCACTAGGACATGTTGCAATACTCAATCTTGGTAGAAGTGGAGATTGTAAACGATATTTTAATTTGCGTACATTTGACATTGTCATAAAGCCAAATAAAAACATCAATATTAAAGGAAAAACAATTGTTATACAAGTATAAACTTGGTCAGCAAATATTCGACATAGAATTGTTTTACTATAGCATCGAAGTGGTGCATTGCTTAGATTGGCTTCATAACAATAGAATAGTGGTGAGTAGATAAATAACGAAAATAGAATAACGATAAGTGTGCCTCGTTGTGCACGTTTTATTGAGCTCAACTGTCGACGCCGAGCACTTCGACAAGACAAAAGCCAACGATCGAAACTTGCTAACATAATCAGCCATGCTGCAATGGTTCTCGATGAATAAAGAGTGAAAATACGAAGCTTGCAAAGCCATGCAACTGTATCTGTCAGATCGCTCGTCCAATTTGATATAATACGTGTTGTAAGACCAGATAAAAGCGCAATAAAATTTGCTAATGATGATATAAGAAATAACCATGAACACGGATTCGATCTTAGAGATCGTTGAGATAAAACAAGAATATTAAGTATATTTCCAATTACACCAAATATAAACAAAAATATTGAAAAATAACAATTTATATTTGTTGACATACGAGACCATGATGCAATAAGAATTGCATCTGCCGTTGTTGAGGAGAATGATGATGCGGATAACATGTATCTAGTAAAATGAAGACGATAGTTATGAGCAAGAGAAAGCAAATTAGAAAATAGGAGAGATTAAATTTCTTTTAGTATTTCTCATTTTGCAAATTTTCTTTTTATTAACATTACACATCAATACAAAATCAGGTATGATGACTATTTTCATCAAGTGATTATGAAATGAGAACGTAATAAGAAACGTTTTATCAAAAAACATATCATTATATGTTACTCAGCTATTAATTACATTTTAATCTAAGACATGAACGAGTATTTTCCACTAGTCTTTATGAAAAACAAGAATCGATTAGTTAAGTAAAGGGATAACAAAATTTGTAATGAAAAAAAAGAACTTAACATAATAAAAGAAAAGAATTTAATTAAAGCAAAAAACATGAATTCAATGGGAGCCTCGATCTTTTATAGTAAATAACTGACGACATTTATAAAGAGAAAAAAAAGGAAATTGAGCACCGCTGGCAGTTGTTACAATGGCGAATAAGGAAAGCATGTGATGAATCAACTAAAGCTGAACTTTATTCTTTTCATTAGTTCATTGATATTCAATATTATACATGAACGAAATGTCGCAATAATCTAATCGGATAAAAAATATTAATTAACGATTTGTGCATATTTGTTTAATCACGTGGATTATTCTAACTTTCTTTTACAAAAACTTGCTAGCGCAGCCTCTTTAGGGCTAAAATGTGGAACTCACATATGTCGCTTAGGCTTACTAAAATAATTCAAAATAGTTGATCTGAAAAATCTACCTTGATTTTCCAAACCTATAATTAGGTCATTGCCTATTTGCTTATGTCTGCAATGGAGTATTAATTGTTAGCTCGTATATTTAACACGGGCATAGACTAGTTTCTATGGTATGTAATGGTACCCTAAGCTAGTTGCTATGGTCTTTTATTAAAATTTAATGAAATCAAAAATAATTACTTATATATCAGCTTTCTCTAATATCATATCACATAGAGAGGAGTACGCGAAGTCTAAACAAGAAAATAAATGTTGGGACACTTATTGAAGTTGATAATGGCATGAGTTTGTCGTTTGTGTTTGTATAGAAAGCAAACTGAATAGACGAAAACAGCCAACCATTTATATGTGTTCATCTCTGAATCATTCACATTCAAGATAATTCAGAGATAAGAATAATTACTGGCGTAGAATAGTTTTTCCTAAAATATTTTTAGTGAAATTCAACCTTGAAACAATAACTACTAACATATATTCTGACTGCTTAATCACTATTGTGTGTTTGTATCGACGATGAAAATAGAAGCATATCGGAAGTTCTTGTAACAATGTCCGTAAATGAGCATTTATAAGTCCATTCTGTGATTAGGCTTGATTCTCGTATTTTCATCTATAGAATGTTTTTTTTGCTGTTTTGTTTTGAACTCTATACTCACCAAACTTACTATTTGATATGCCCAATTATCGAATGAACTTATTTAGTCTGTTTGAAGAAAAATGGATATCTCTCTATAATCATGCAAATAACAATTGTTCACAAGAGTCGAAGGAACTGATACCAATATGTATTCTACAGAAAAGAACTGAATCACGCTTCAAACGTTAGCTTACAGTGACGGAAACCCTTTTCCTTTTTAATAGAAAAGATAACCTACGTCATCTCAGTGGGATTAGTAATTGAAAAAGGGAAAGAGCGTGTATTCTTGTTTTTTACTAGCATTTCCTTCTTCTACCGACAGAATAGTTGTTACTTCAAAATATGTACTGTGTCAATAGTGCCTTGTTTAGTGGAAAAAAAGAGAAAAATCGGAATCGATATTTATTCTACACATAGTTTTGTTTTAAATCAAGTTTGTTTTCTAGACAATCTATTCAATATATTAAGAGACATCGCGTACTTTCTTGAATAATATAAATTAATCTGTGTTGCACTCATCAAATATGCCATTGAAATAGCCTATACCCAATAGCAGAGCTTCATGGACGTTTCATTATAAGGAGATGTCTGCATTCGAAGATTTAGAAAATCAAACAATAAGCCACACTAACTATTTGACACAGATATTGCGTATCATGGAAGCTAATTTTTTAAATTCTACTTCTTTCTAAAGGAAAAGACTATGACAAGTTTGCTTTTCGGGTTATACAGTAAAATTAACTGTTCTATAGTGTAATACAAATAAGGCAATGAAAACGAAATAAAAAGAAGCTTTTCTTCCCGAAAGAACGTGTAGCAATAGGAAAATGATTAAATTTTCTTTTAGTTTTCTTTTTCGTCTTGTTATAATATCCGTTTAGTTACGAAGTAATTAACTGTATATAATATTTTTCTAATTTAAACTTCGATTTAATTTTAAAGTTCACTAACCATAACGTGCTCCATGAAAAAATTCTTCTCTTCAGAAATATCCAAACGAATAGCACGCGATACATTGGAGATCAAATCTAATTTGAATATAAAATGAAGCGTTCGATCGATTTGCAAGTAATAGATTGTAAACTCGAACAGGAATTTTCTTCATGCCTTGAAATACAGGTTCAAAACGTATATGAGAAACTATCTCAGGTTTGACATCTCGGCTTGATTAATATTTTTATGAGGTCTTCGGAAAATAATTGCGACGGTGGTCGGCAAATGCGGAAGGAAGTCCACAGAGCTCCTAGCTGAAGGACAGAGAATTTCTTCTCTGAATTAGAATTATAATCGAGATAAAATTGCCTTTGACCTTTTTCGATTTCAATAGAAAAGGTCGTTGCGCCGATATAAGCACTCGTTCTATCCTAATCAATGTACATAACGACTTTCTCCTCATTGTCATGTGTATTCTCTCTTCCTCTTTGTCGTGTTTCTTCTCGTTCTCTCCGGTTGAGTGACGCGCCCCCGAGAAAGAAAGTGTATCTATAACAGGAGAAGAATGATTGAAATAAAAACAGTTCGGTATCACGATAAAACGTCTCTTATCGTTACAGTCGTTATCTGATTGTATTTGTAGTTTCAGACGAAACGATAGCCTTTTGTTTTCTTTATGTATCATTAATTTAGAAATTTTTTGGTATTGCTACACTCAAACCAAACTCACTCTCTTTTTTTCTCCGAAGAAATTCATCAATAGGAAATCTACTTTATCTGAATAGAATTGAAAAAAGTGCACCCATTTTACTTCTTTTTTTGTCATGATATTTTCTGATTACACCAATAATATTTAATCTTAAAGATTTCTGAATAATATAGAACTGTAATAAGTGCGAATGTATCCCGAGCATGAAATCGTTATTTGTGCATATTTTGATGAGAAAAATTGCTTATAGTAGTAGAAATAGTCACTAGCCTGTAAACTTTAAACAAGTATTATTAAAAAAGAAATTGTAAAAATAATCTCATAATCATTTTATCAAAAAACAAAACTTACATTTTATTGGCACACTCGATGACACAAGTAGTAAATAAAAACTAAATAGAGGATAGGTTCTACAGATCGCTTCAAATATTTATTTTTATTTTCATATCTGCAGGGCACGAGATTTTGTGCTTTCGAAAAAAAAATTTTACAAGGTGACTGGCCGTGTTTTATAAAAATAGAATTAATCACGATATTCCATGGAGAAAAATATCTATATTTTCTTACTACTTTTCAATATTATCTATCAATAATCAGTGATTGACACTGTCTTGTAATGAAGAGAAGAATAACCAAAGATCTCTTTTCATTATCTATAAATCTGTATGTGCAGATCATGTGTAAAAACGTTCTGCATAAGATAATTAAATAGGATTTTTAATGTGATGCTCAAGTTCTGTTCTACTTACCTGATCGCCTTTTATATCGAGTTCGAGATTACATGAATATCAATCATTTTTGACACTCTACATAGGAAGAAAAATAGATATAAATCTAGATTTGATCTTTTGCTTTTCTTTTTATAGAAAACAGAGTCCAGGGGAAAATAGAAGTCATGCGAAGTATTCACTCACTGAAAATCATTTTTGTCATTCTGTCACGATTGCATTCGATTGTCGTTAGAAAACAGTAAAACATTCTTCTATTCTTTTATGATAACAACAAGAAGAAGTTAGTGAGTAAGAAGAATAAGAAAACAGCATGAAGACTCACTACTCTCCAAATCGATAGTAACTAATGATTTTCTTGTCTTCTTTTTTCTCTCTCTAAATCAAGATATAATTCTTAACCTATTTATATAAAACCATTATTGAATTAAGAAAGATAACTTTCATTCTCCTGTAGTACTGATAAGTAGAATTTTGATTTTTAATTTCTAATAGAACTCTGATATGCAGGTTAAATCATATAAGATTTGTTTTGCTGATTTTTTAAGGCGCCGATGGTACGATTCATCAATCAAAAGGATATACGACTAGTGCATGATTATTATTCTAATTAAGAAAAAAAAATCATAATTGATGATAGACAATGCGTGGTGATGTTGAACTGAGTAACTCTCATTCATTTTAATAACAACGATTAGATTCTTTTCTTTGCATGTTGCTAGATGCTTTCAATTTCCTTTCTATGAAAACACAAAAACTATCAGCAATTTTATTTGTTCACACAATTGTAAAATAGAACTCTAAATTGTTTATGCAAATACTTGATGGTTTTCTCTTGAATCGATCAACTTCAATTATTCTATTTTGTTGATTGGCCACAAACAGTCCTACATAAAGAAGAAAAAAAACGAGAAATCTATTGTATGCTCGATCCAAGAGACTAGGCAAAGAAGACAAAAAGAACATTTGCAATAACATTTAGAACGATAAAGATCATTAAACTTGATTTGAATTCTAATGTGAGACTAATAAATAATATAATATAGAAGCTCATCGATGTTTCTTACGACAAGCTTGATTATTCGGTACGATTGTAAATGGTGGCTTCTAGTTTTCTTGCGATTGAACAACGCTTAAGATAAAAATATTTAATTATAAAACAAATTTCTTCAAAAAATTTACTGCTGGCTATTGCATGTAATTCTAATAAAAAAATATTTCCCTTCAGGCTTTATTTTTTATTATATGGCCCATGAGTAACACTGGTTGTCTATGCCAGTAAAGTCATTGGTAACTAGTACTTCTGTAATCTTTTTTTTATATAATTTATGATGATCTAAATTGAAAGAAAAAAAACGGAACTTCATTTAAAATTTTATTAATAAATATTTTTCTAGGCAGTATATGTCAAGCATTCAACAAGGCAGTTCAAAGTTGGATTTCTTCAATTATAGTGTTCACACAGAGTGTTTCGTTATATGCCACAAAAAAAATAAACAATGTTGCATAGATCTATTTTCATTGAATATTTGCAAAAATATTAAATTCAACTTTCATATAAATGTTTCGTAAGTTATATAGCCTTGAAAGAATAATGTAAAAAAAACAAGTGTTCATCGAAGTTGACAATCAAGATCTTGGTGTTGCATTTGTTGATTTGTTTTCACCATCATTTACAATTGGATTATTTAATATTCGACAATCAAATTTACGAACAATCGATGATTATTATTAACTAAAATAATGTCTTTCGTAGCAAATCGAACATTGAACGACATTCAGTTGATTGATATTATCACATTTCAATAACACATAAGATAGATCAGCTTTTATAATACGTAGAATATGGGTTCGACATGAATTCCTCTTATTGATGAAAACAGAAAATGATTATTAGTGTTTTTTTATCGAGAATTTTTCATGAGATTTTTTTGTCAACAATAAGTTAATATATTTAAGTATAAATTTAATAAAAACGCAAAAGTAATGAATTCATTCATTTAACGAGCGGCACATGATTTTCACTCGAATGATATCCCTAGTGGACGCAAGAGATTCAATTGTCTAACAGTAGGAGAATTTTTTGAATAGAATATTGCCATTACGTGACTACAAACTTACTGATTTTGCTGAATTCATCTAGCATAATCACGCATATTATTTTCACTCATTTTTATATCAATTAGAAGCCAGAAGTTATTGTTACGTAAAAATAACTTCTATTCAATATTTCTCTTAATCAGCGCATGCATCAATTTCAAATAAAATCTCATTTCTTAAAAATCGTAAGCGTAAAACACAAAAAAGGCAAACATTGTTATTGATGATAATAAACATGTTTGAGAACAAAATTATAATTTTTTTACAATAATTTTTTTCAGTTGAACTAAACAATTTGTAAAATAAATCATGAAAATTATACAATTGTTTTTCTGACGCACATGTTCGTTTTTAAAGTACATTTTCTGCTGTGAAAATATCCTTCTATACTGTCGTAGAATAGAATTTAATTCAAGAAGAATAATACTTGAGAAAAATTATTTTTATTACCAAACATTTGATATTGAACTGATTTAAATTTTAAAAAACCTAAATTCATGTTGAAATCTAACGCAGTAAATTTCGAAATCGAACAAGAGTACTCAAAATGACACAGATTAACCAAACAAGAGCCACAACTATTTCAAAATAACTACTGATTTGATTTTTTTTATTATTCAATAATGTGACGAGACTAGCATCCGGTGATGAGAATATTTATTGACTATTACATCCAAGAATCAATGCGATTATTCTGTTTTTTAGCGATTGTCGTCAAGTATTCACTTCAAGAAAAAGCATTGGATATTAATATTGTTATGAAAAATCGATTTAGTTAAGAGTTTGAAGCTATTATTTTTCATAAGTTACTCATACGACTGACTATCATAAGACATGAAAATATATTCAACATGAAAATGTTGTTTGCTTTTCGTAAAAGCTTGTAAATACATTCCACTCATTAACATTCTTTGACGGGTAAATTTACTGATAAGCTGTAAGCTTTTTTCTTTGCTCACTTCATCTTGAGGAGATATCGAGCTGGAAAAAATTGACAGTTATTGAATTTTATGAACTGACTTGTTTTTCTGTTTTTAAATTGAATTCTAAAAGCTATTCATGCTTGAAATCTTAGTCTTTACATTAATTTTACAATATTCAATTATGACTATCTACAAATAGCACGCGATTATTACATATCTAGATTCTGTCTAAAACAGAATATGCAACTGTAATCTTCACATGAAAACAACGTCAAAATGTGGGCTGTAATAGGATACTCATCCGTTCACAGGATTGTCTGTTTTCTTCACAAATTCCTAGTAAACACTTTGATGACACTAAAGGGGAAGGATGAACTCGTTGCAAAAAAAGTTATTTGTTTTCAGCTTGTCACGACATGGTCTTGAGTTCATTTTTCATATGTTGCAGTAGGACACGCGTGAAAACAAATCGTTGCATCGTATTAGTTTTAATAGGAAACGTTGCGTGATGAACGGATGTTTATTATCAGTGTTTTTGTGCACTCAAAAAAAAATGAGTACACTCTGGATTCGGTCAGTGTGTCCGTCCGGCCGTTCACACGATCACTCTTGAAAGCCTCATCCAATTGTCATGAAATTTTGTACACAGAATGATCTCATTGATATTTCAGTCGAGTTCGAAGATGAGAAGGATCCGTCAAGAAATGGCTGAGTTTTCGAAAAACTTGTCAGTATTGACCAGATCATCCCTGAGGGGGGGGGTACAGGGATTTTTTCAAAAAAAATATTTTTCTTAGAATTATTCACAACATATATAAATTGACTCAGTTTTTGCAGTACGCATAACAGTCGGATGCTAATCCGATGTTTCCTCATTTATTCAGTCTAAATTCAGTTTCAAAGTGCTCTATATGAAATTGAAGAGTGTCTTAACGCTTACTATTGATAAATTTTCATTCATAAAAGTTTGTCAAACTTTAAGATGAAAGATGCGATAACTCTAGTGGGAAAACTAATTGTATTGAAATAAAGAAAATATTGTTGAACTACAGTCAGTCGGCGATAAAACTGATGTATGTTTCATATCGTTAAGATTTCTTCGAGATCAAGTGAGAGTCACAATTACTTGAATAGAATTCGGATTACCACTATTTTTCGTTTTGGAACATAATGGTAGAATGGCTGTGCGTTTTTCCTTATGCAATGAATGCAAGTGATCAGTTTTTTTTGCGAGCCTTCAAATGTATATCGACAAAAACTTAGCATCAAAATTTAGTTCATGAAGTATTAAAGATCTCATTATATCGCAGTATCAAAACTTGAAAACAAGAGATGATATAAAAAATAACGTCAATGTATTTCAAAAAGGTCTTGGATTTAAATGATCACAATTAATTCTTCAGAGATAAAGAAAATTACAGGAATTACTGCATACTTGGAAGAAATCCGAAGAATACGGGAACGATCATTGATAAGATCTTTTATTGATGATAATGAAAAACACAATGATTCGGTTGGTAAAACTTCATGACTTGTGCACGTTATCGTATTCTATGAACATAAAATGTGCATCAATGGAATAGCCAATCAACAAAACTATTGTTTTTGGCTTATGAAACATTTCTTGATATTCTCTCAGGAAATGAACTCTGGTTGAATTGTCTTGTTCCTGAAACTCTAGAACATTGTTTTGATTGACAGAGTTCTTTTTACAGTATCGAATGCACTCATGTGTTCTCATCACTTATGTTCACGATTATAATCTGAGTACGATCGAGTCTTTGCAACAGGCAGCTAAACCAAAGTGTTGAGATTGCGCTCTGCTTATGAAGACTGAAGTTTGAACAGTTTTGCTATTATTGTAAGTCAAGTTTTGAGTTATGTAGTGGATTTCATGGTAGTATTCACACCGAATATCAATCAGAATTACTATTTGATTGTGGCACATGAAGAATTTCGAACTTCATATTTCAAGATAGATCAATAATAATTTACAAATAAAGTATAAGACAGCAAGAATATATAGAAGATATTCCGTAATTAATAAACTATAGTGTTTCAAATTCTGAGAGAAATAATGAAAAGACATCAGTACAGAGAAACGAGCATCGTATCTTGAAGAGATGCGTTTATCGATATAAAAGAATCAATTATCATTATACATAAAACGCAAACATCATCACAATTGTTCATCCGAATTATTCTTAACTTGTTGCTTCTGAATGAGTATATTATCAGTAGAAAAATTCTAAACCATTAAAGCTTTTAACAAATTCGTTTTTTAGTCTTGATTTTGAATTATTATTATGCAATAAGGAATTGAATACGAGTATTCCATGAAATAATTTCATTATCTATTCAAGTGTCATAGATAATAAATAAATTTTAATACTACCGTGTTTATCTATTACTTTCTAAAAATACAAAAGCACATTCTTAATAGCTTTTGATACATGACGTATGAAGAATAGAAGCAATACATCGATGCATCGATATGGAAGAATGCCTTACTTTTTGTTCGTTCCTAATCTCATCGACTGACGATATGAAAAGTCAAATTTTTCTTTTTTTGTAGTAAGCGTTGATGTTGCTCTGTAATTCCGATATGTGCATATTGTCAATAAAAGCAACATGGAATTTCGAGCTCTTCTTATAGAAATATTCAATCAACTGTCGGATAATGATCGCCAATCGCTTTATTTTGTAGTCGGCAGTAGAGTTCCACGAAAAGCTCGAGATGATTGTACGCCTTGCGGTAGTTTACGTTTACATGATTTTCTTTTCGATCAAACTTTAATCACTGAACAAAATTATGATTATTTCATTCATGTATTCGAACGCATCAAGTGCTATGAGGTTGCAAAACGACTTCGACGTTAGTATCCATCTCACTCAATTATGAATAATAAAGACGTTTTATTATTCGATAAAATGAAAAGTTTTTTTGGTAATTAAAAACAAAATTTTAATTAATGATTCCCATCCTTATTCTAGGTGATCATCCAGAACGATTTTCACACGTCTCTGAAGAAGAACAACCATCAACTGAATTAGAAAATTCGATTTTACAACCTAATAATAATATTTTTTCGAAGAGAGATATCAGTTTGATGATCGTGAAAGAGAACAATCATCTTCGACTATTACAAAGGTATTGACTAAAAAATATCTTATACTATCTATTATTTTAACCCTTATGTTCATCTTCTGTATTTTACTGTACTTAATGCTAGTCCGGTTTTGCTTTATTGAATATCCAAAGCTGAATGATACCATATTATCGCGTAATATTAACCAAAGTAACGTCATTGAATGAGATTGAAATATATTATTTATCAAAGGCACTTCTTCTAGAAATATTCTATGTGATAATAGAAGAATTAAAATATGGTGATAGTAGTTTGTTTCAAAACGAAAATTTCAACGATGCTAAAAATCTTGAACTGTCTTATGAAGATCAATGCATCGGTGTTGAATTGAAATGCTCTAGCAATGCGCTTTCGTCTATTCTATTCTTGTACAATAACAATAGGTCACGTCATGCTCGTACGTCTCAAAGTGAAGAACTATCTATTTGCCAGTCTGAGTTTTCAAATGTTTTTCTGTTGGATTCAAATGAAGAGATTAGTAAAATAAATCTATATCAAGATTTACATGAGGCACACTCAAGTATAACCGGTATACAATTTTATATGGCTAACGGAAGAAAAACTGATGTATTTGGTTCCAATGATGGACATTTTTTTGACGGAATCATTTGAACATTACACATTCAGATATGCTAAAGGAAGACAAAATAGAGAAAGAGGGATTGAGCTGCTTCGATTTTTCTGGATAAAACAATCTTCAATGAACGACCAGATAGGCACGGGCATGTGATTTTATAATATTAGGTATTTTCAAGTTAAACTTGAAATTATAACGAATTCCAACGATGTAAAATTTCATTTGTAAAACAAAACAAAACGTTTTTTCCCTTCTTTTAGTACCACGTAACATGGTAGAAAAGTGTGCATTCCTCTACACGAGCAATTTCTAAAAAATCATATTCTTTTCATTTGCACGGTGCATCTCTAGTGTATATTTTCTTGAGCTACCCATGGATGTCTTACTAGCGTAAAAAAACGTAAATTTACTCAAGAGCTGCAATTCTTCGGGAAAATAACACCTTGCACCAAGCAAGATTGAGCTATCAGTAGGTTCCTAAATATCGCTGGAGTTTATGCAACGTATGAAACACACATATTTTACATTAACTACTTTTAGTGAACTATGAAAAAAGTTTAAAATCTTTTGATGAAGACGATATCGGTGACGCTTTTCTGTTCTGAATGGAGTTTGCAACTTTTTAAGCCAGCTAATAAAAATACGAAGTTAAAGAAGTTTCGATCGTACCACGTCGTTAACTTGCAAATATCATTTATAGTCCTCGTTGCGAGGAAATCGGCAACGGAAATAGTTTTCATCAGTTTTATCATTAGCGTCATCGCAATGTGGCATACAGTTTTATTTCACTAACAAAACAGTGGTACAAGCTATCTATTTGTTATCTAAGTTCCTGACCGTCACTATGCCTTGATGTAAGCTGCCTAGAATGTGATTATCTAAAATTTATTTTCATCGATATTATATCGAGTGTTTCAGTGTGGACGAGAATAGATAAGAAATCTAACTCAGAACATCATGCTAACACCTGCCATCTTTGTCTTTTTTTAGCTGAACTAAAACCAATAACTACGCATATCAAGGGGGAAAAGGCGGATTTGGGATTTTGAAAATCCCAAAATCCAAAACGTGAATGATGGAACTTCCATCTGAATTTTTTCCCATATGTAAGTCTCATGATTCTTAGAATATTCTGAAATCTTCACCGCAAACAGACGTTTCCTTCTCAAGATAATGAATGCGCAAGAAACACTCATTTCACAGCACGGTCAGAAAATCCAGTTTTTTTGAAAATTCAATATTTTAAGAAAGAAACATTTATTCGAGTTGAAACTTTTAGGATCTTTTATGAACCATGAAACCTATATATGGAAAGAATTTCAGGTCGAAACTACGTCATTCACAGAAGGGAAAATGCTTTTTAATTTATGGGATTTTGGGATTTTGAAAATCCCAAAAATTCTCTTTTTCCCCTTGACGCATATCATCATATGAAAGTACAAATCATATCACAAGTGTGTGAGTAATATTACACTGCTAGTAACACGAAATCACTTATTCTAAGAACATTTTTATGCTATGATTTTAATTTTAACATCTAATGAGGATTCAGTATTAGATTGTAAAAATAGTAATTTGCAATAAAAACCATTTCGATGAAGTTTTCATAATATTTCATGAATAACATCTTTTTTTTTCTAAACTTATAATAGACATGCGTATGAATAGCAACTCACACCGAAATATCCGCTAACTATTTTTTTATGAATTCAAGTCGTTTTTGTTAGAGAGCGTATGAATCAAAGAAAAGTTGGCGAGAAAATTCGTATAATTACTGATCTAAAATGCTGTTGTCATTCTTCTTCGTTAGTAAACAACAACTAGATATCGTTGAGTAGCTCAATAAAGAATGCCTACTAAACCTTTTCACTTTAACTCTGTGGTAGCCTTACTGGATGTTTTGCGCGCTATATTTTTTCCTACAAAAGAAATTTTTTATATGACGAATGAAAATCTGTTTGTTTTTGACTACTTCATGTTGTGCCAAAAGTGAATATTTAAAAACTTGAAAGTCACCCTCAAGATTTCTGCACTATAAATAATTTCTTTATTTTTATTTCCAAGTAAAGAATAACAGCGCACATCATTCTTACCGTCGAGAAAGGAAGAAGAAAGAACGCATAATAAAAAAAAGAATTTTTTCTATGGCGAGCCAGCTGAATGTGAGAACGAAAACGTTTTAACAATGCTTACTTTTATTTAATCGAGTTTCAACTGAAGTTAAGATTGCATGTGCACACACACGTTTGGTTTGCTTTTGTTCCTTGTTTTCTCTTACCATTTTTTACATAGATCAGCGCCAGACGAGCTATGGGATTCAATCAGTCAAAAGTCAAAATTGAGTCATTAGAACGAAAACAAAAGTTACTTATGAAACAGAATGCTGATATGGAAAAACAGCTAGATGTACAAGAAGATGTTAGTAACCGACAATACAAAACAACTTTTGACCAAATGGCTGCAATATTATTGGCAGTTGCCCGATCGAAAGCAAATGAAACAGTTATAAACGATGAAAAATCCGAAATCGAAATAGCAGGCACCACATATGAGATCATTCAATATGTTAATCGAGGTGGTTTCGGTACAATATTCAAGGCTAAAGTTAAGAATACAGGTCGTATAGTTGCTATTAAAGTTATAGAAAACGCACCCGGTATAGAAGCAGAAATCAAAAACGAAATTAACTTTTTACGTTTAACAAAACGAATTCAAATTGATAATCATCCAATTATTGAATATCGCGGCAGTCGATTGACCAAGGACGGTATTTTCATTGCTATGGAATTTGCACTATGTGATCTTTACACTTTTTGGAAAAATAAACCATTTCCGGCAATTGAAGAGATCACCGTGTTTGGTATGATTATTATTGTTTATGTACTGCGTGCTTTAGCATTTCTCGAAAAATTGCATATTGTTCATGGCGATATAAAGCCACAAAATATTGTTCTTGTTCCAAATGAACAATATTTTTGCATTAAATTAATTGATTTTGGTTCAGCGGAAAAGATGAACACTCAACGTGCGCAACTTACAGTCGATGCAGAGAAAGTTCATAGTGCATTTTTTGTTTCACCAGAATTTTTGAAATATGATTCAAAAAATCGTGTGTCGAGACAACTTCACAAAACATCAGATGCATGGGCAGCTGGTGTTATGTTTTATCTGTTGTTCTGCGGTGAATTTCCGTGGAATGATGAAAGAACATACAGACGATTTTGTAATGATCCACATGCTGAAGATGTTGCTGTACCACAAGCTGGGGGTTACAGAATGATTATTGAATTGCTACTAAAGAAAAATCCTAATGAACGTTCCAGTGCCACGGAAACTCTTGTACAATTAAAGGCACATCCAGAATTCGGCAAGATTATTGAGTCACTCCATCAAAATTTCTGTCCTGTTGATGATGTATGTAACATGACAGTACCAAATGATGTTCGAGAAGAATTAAGTAAGTTATTAGTCTTTTTTTTTCAGTCCTCTCACAGAAAAGCGGCAGCATTTGAAATCAAATATATCTGTAAGATTTCATCGGATTCACTTGCAGAGTTTTAAATGTTTGTCTAATTAAATACTGTTGCTCGTATAATAATTGTCGCTAATCGTCCATGTTTCTCTAATTATATTTAGTAAAACTTGCACGCCCTGGCCATTATACTGGTAGCTTTGTTGCACTGCCGAACAAAACAACAGGTAAATATAAAGATCAATCAATTTTTTTAGATTAAATTTACAAGACATAATGCTCGTTTTCTATTTATGCTAACAGATGAAACACGTCGTTCATGTCGATATGGTCAAAGCTGTTACAGGTGCTTTAGGAATATTTTCATAGAATATAGTAGATTTCTAACTTCATCTTATTTTAGAACTGATAGGGATCATCGCGAGAAATTTTCACATCCAGGCGATTTGGATTATCGTGAATCGAAAGTGCCTAGCAGTGGGGTTGCTGAAAATAAAGAATGTCGCTACGGAGCATATTGTTATCGGTATGCAATACTTTGTTATCTCATAAATAATTTCGGCTACTTAACAACAGTAATTAATCATACCGCAATATTAATTCCAGTCTTCCCTCAGTGAATGAAACGTTCTATTCGAGTTTTCTTCAGGTGAACTGAGAACGATAGGCATACAAGAAGGAAGATTATATTCGATCCATCATACAATATGATCATTGCTGATTGGACTTTAGAACCAATAGATGCACTTTCTGTATGTTAATAACTATTCTGGGGTTCTTTTCAAAGCTAGTTATGGATAAAAATTTGCATCACACACTACAAGATTATTTACAGAAATTGAAATTTGACTGTTGTCAAATTATTATCAGTAGAAATCCTTTTGCTATACACAACTCTGGTTTACTTTATAGTTTCAGAAATATTTGATTCCATGAATCAGACTTTTTCTTTGAAAATTTATCACACTAATTTTTATCCTCATTTACGTATCTACAGTTCAATTTTTTCATTTATATGAATTACAAATCTTTCCTTTTTAGAACATGTACTCGATAGACCCTTTAGAATAGAGTAAAAAGTTATTATAAAACCTCAAGTACCCAAAATAGGATGAAAAATATGAGTATCAGACTTTTTTTGTATAATATCAATGACTCGCATCATCCAAAGTTTTTAATAATGCTCTTATTGATATGTCAGTTAGAAAAAATATAACGCTATTAATAGTAGTGCATATTTTTGTTAAAAATGTATAGACTTTCATGTCACTTTTCATAATTATAATGCTACAATTATGTAATTAGGTGCCTTCGAACTACTTTTAATTTTAACTGTTCTAATTGAGAGACCTGCAAATAAAAACAATCGTTGAGTAATATGAAAATGTTTTAACGAATAGTCAAAGAAAAAAAGAAGAATCCTATAATGCTCTTCACCTGAAATCGATTTCGTTCACTTGACATAATAAAATTTACAGCAAATCTTATTGAATTATTACTTTTGTTTATAGAAAAGATCAAGATCATCTATCAAAATATTCGCATTCAATTACGCCCAAGTGCAGTCATCCAGAGACACAACAACTTACCGTCGTAGCTAACCAGTATAGGTATGTTACAGCAAAGAATTTGCTATCTAGAAAAAGTCATCCAATAAGGCTGCTTGGAAAAATCGAATAAGAAATTTTATCTCATAGTTGAATTTCTGAGAGCAAAAACGACCGTGTGTCGTCCAGAAAATTGATTTTATTTGAATGCGCATAAGGACTAACATTCTAAGCACTGATTTAAAAAGTGTAGCTGAGCCAATCAACATTTTTATTACCAGGTTCTATTATAAATACGTTGACTGCTAATTCTCCAATCCTTAATTTTTTTTTGTGCAACTATGTCGATAATAGGGATATACCTATTCTTAGTGGTAAATAATACAAATGAGCAAGTGTTAGCGTTTGAATCTTCATGTCACTGCTTCGTTTTCAAATCCTAAATAAATGACTGAAATAGTCGTTTCCAGTGTATTAAATCATTTCTGACATATTTTCCTTTGATTTCAAGATGTATTATTTGACAGAATTTTTAAAATGCAGAAAATGTTTTTCGTATTATAAACAAGATTATTGATCACTGTAATTCTCGAAGAGCTTTAATGAAAAACTTTAGCCATTTGTAGGACAACTTTTTTGTGATTTTTACACAATATAGACAACAAAATACTGCTCAACTGGATGAAAACGTAACAATCAAGCCTTCTCTCATCAGCTTAATACTATCGACTGTCACCCTAGTAGACGATTCGCCAAGAAAAGGTATGTGATTGATGTTACAAGACTCAGTTTTAGTTCTTTTTTTATAATTCATCACTCAACTAGAGCTAGATAACTTTCTGAACGGTTGACTTTTCTTTGTGAATATGAAAATAAAAAGCCTACCCGAAGACATGTTATAACTGAAAAACGCTAATGCTATATCTCGGACAGTAGTGACTGTGTTATTTTTGTCAGTGGACACATGTCAGATATTGTTTGAAGATTTTGGAGGATAGTCTGAAAATGTCTTATGGAGATCTGTGTCGTAAAACATTGAAAATGTTTACAAAGAAATTAGTAAAAGATGCTATTAAAATAGTTGAATAGAATCGTGTTTTAAAGTATTTATTTATGACATGCCCTGTGTGAAACTAACTAAATATAAAAATTTTCAATGAAATATTCAAAAACGTTGCATACAAAATCTGTTTCAAGCTTTTATTGGAGATGCACTTTTTTCTTCATTCTCGAATTACGTATTCGACATGTGCTACTGGATTAGAGTTTGAGATCTGATTATTGGCTTCTGGACATGAAAATCTCAAATAATCCCGTCTGGTTCTCGTTGAATTTTGCCAAAATCCTTGCAGTCACGTTGTGATTCCTACGGAAGTATTGTTTGAATTTGAATTTCTCACGTAGAAATGATTAAAATAGTTGACTAGAACTGTTGCCAGAGTGATTCATTTGATCTATCCTTAAGTGGCTACCTCGAGATCTTTACCTTAAAGTAAGAAAATTATTGAACATTAGCCATGCAAAGTATCTCATATAAAATTTTAGTTTTGTTTTAGTAACAATTAAAAAATTCTTCTGTTAACTGAATCGAATAGATCTTATTATAGTATATTTGTCATGCAAGCTGCCATCATAATTAATTTAATAGCTTTTTCTTTTAAAATGTACAAGTTAATGAATACATTTTCCTACTAGAACTCTTAATCAGCGAGACTGTAGACCGACTTCCAGTGCGAACTATCTTGGGAAAGAAATGCTTGAAAGATTTCATTCGTGCTGTAGATGGCGCTCGAATTTATCCATTGTTTGAACATTGAGAACCCTGTTTTAGACCTGTAATTAGCTCGTATCATATGACTTTTCATAAAATGCATCTTCATCACATAAAGACTCATGAGGTGTAAACTATAGTCATTCTACTCTAACAAAGCGATCTTTATTATTAAATTTGAATGTCAAAATTCCTTGTATTTTTCAAAGTTCATTTTTTATTTTGTTTTAGACAAACGCAATACTTCAACATAATCTTGGTAATTATTGTTCTATTCTCATGTGATCGCATCCAGTAGTTTTTAAATTCTTAACTGCTACTAAGAAGTGATCCAATCTCTGGAATAGAATTAGATGATGACCATTTGCATTTATGTGTCATTCGATTCGATTTCTAACTCTGAAAATGTTTTCTAGATAAGCAAAAGTTTCACACAACACTGAATAAAATAATTCGTTTTTTTCTGTGATTGTTAATAAACAAATGTAGTTAACGGTGTCCTTCAAAGATGAATAAAGTTACTGAGTGGAACTTTTATAAATTTAAATATTTTGCATTGATCTTGTGCCATATTAACTACTGAAAAGGTTTTAGGCCCAGCAAATATAAATAGTGAAAGGTAGGCTATTTGAAATTTGAGATTTATCATATAATAGTTACTTGTTTATGTGTTTAACTCTGTATTCCTCTTCTAAGACAAAAAAGTTCAAAAAAGTATTTCTAATTTCCGCTAGTTCGATATAGGTGACAGTTTGAAGTGATGACTCATACCCGTACATTTTTCATTGATTTTTATATTTCTGAAAACATGGAAAAGTAATCATCCATTTGAATTCAAATCATGAAGCTCCAAGAAAATACTATCGAATAACATAAAGCACTGTACTATCACTGAAATAGTCTATCGATATTTTACTGTAACATAGTGCCTTTTCGAAAAGAGCTTTCTGAATATGATTGATCAGCAATGTCAATCATTATTTTCAGAATCTTGAAGCATCACAATTACCAGTCATATCACGGCGTTATGTGTGCATTTTAAGAAAATCCCCCTCCAATAGCGCAGAACTCTAGTTTATATTCATTGAAAATTGTCTCGCGAACCAATCTTATGAGGAGAAATTCTATCGAGTAGCTACCTGTCATCTGTGGTGAAAGGCATTGGAAGGAATTTTCAGGAAACAAGGTTAGCTACAAGAAATATGCTTATATCAATAGTCGAAGTACATTGACTTCTACGAGAACAGATCAAATTACTGTGGTGTGCTATTTCAAAGACGGAACTCGAAAAAAGATATTTTAAAGTTTGAAGAGCAGTGTCCTAGAAGATAGTAATTGTAATTTTTTCCCAGTGGAAAGCATCGAAATCCTTAGTCTTTCTACTCTTAAATATTTTTCTGAATGTAATTAAAATCAATAAGACTTGCAAAAGTAACCAATGTCTTTGCTCGAATTTTTATCGTAGAAACTCCATATATAATCATGATTTGAGTGCTTAAATGCACTTGTCTAGTGTGACCTAAGCAAATATTAGATTGACTTGAAGAAGTAGAATCTCATACTATGAACTAGCTGTAACTTCGATCGGCCTATGAAAGATACTTCAAACTAAAAATGCAAAATGATAGAAGAGTTACATACAGTCCAGTTACCTTGTGAAGTGTTTTCAAAACGGGTTTTCCCGTTCAAAACCAGTATCCCAAGTAAAAGACTCTCAAAATCACCTGAGATAAATCTTGCCTTCTATGTATTTTCAGTTAAAGAGTCAATCACCATGCTGACTAGTATCGATAATTAATTCCTCCTTTTTTTTTTACTATGCCCTGTGTATTGATTATGTTTGCGTCTTTAATATAAGCTAATTAGAGTACACCAATTATCTAAAAATCTATAATATACATCAAACTGGCAAGTTTAGATGATAGAGTTTTAAGTCAGTTACATAATATGAAAGCTTTGTTCTTCAAGATCTTGAATTTCGTGTCTTTGATTTTATCTTGACTACAACATATTCTACTAGAGAACGTGGTTGATGAACGTTGCTATGCAAATAAATTTCTTTCTTTCTTTCTTTCTTTCTTTCTTTCTCTCTCTCACTTCCGAGTAATACTTTTTTTTCCTACGAATGTTTGTGCCGTGAGTTCACATTTTCTATAACAAACATGATGATAGAATGAAACAAAAATCAAAGAACAGCAAGTTACACATGCGACTGAAAATGCGTCTGTTACAATAATATTTTCAACGTCGACGCATCCTCTTATATGATGAAATCTGGTTGCGAATCGACTGGTGAATTTGATAATTTGCTATTATCGACTGTTCGACAAGGAGACGTTAATTTATTAGAACACCATTTATCTACAGTGTCCAATCCTGCTTTGTACTTAAATCGACTATATGATGAGAGAAATTCACAAAAATGCACTGTTCTGATGATTGCTTGTTTAAATGATCATAGAGATGTGATGCGCATGTTGCTTCAACGTTACAAACCAGATCTAGAAGTACTCAATAATATTACTTTCGGAGATTTCACTCCAAGTCGACAAATATTCTTCAATATTTCGGTGCTGTGGGCAGCTACATCGATTAATAATTTCGACATGGTAAAATTACTAGTCGAACATGGAGCTAATGTTAATCATCGAACTCGAACAGGTTCAACACCACTACGTGGTGCTTGTTACAATGGGAATGTGAGCATGGCTCGTTATTTGATTGACAACGGTGCTAATATACATCTCAACAAAGAAAACAATGATACAAATCTAATGGTGAGCGTATGCCATAAACATCGCCATATGGTTACGTATCTCGTGGATGAGTTAAACTGTGATGTAAATGAATGTGATGCCAATGGTCGTTCATCGCTTTACGACGCTGTTGTTTGTGCTTCCATTGAACTTGTAGAATTTTTGCTAAAACGTGGAGCCCATAATTTTCGCGCTATTGTCGACCAAATGAGTCCATTAATGTGGGCAGCAGAAAAAAAACGACCAGATCTTGTAGATATTATTTCTCCGTACAGCTCAGTACTTGAAAGAATAGAAGCTCAAGAGCTGCTTGGTAGTGCGTTCGCTTGTACTAACCGTGATAATGATGATCTTAATCAATCGTTTAACTGTTTTTCTCGAGCACTCGATCTCAGAACGACTCACAATCTTTCAAAAGCTATGACAACAACTACCCATACAATCTTTCATAATCGGTATGAGTGTCAAACAATCGATCAACTGGAAAAAATACGTACGAATACAGAACTAATGCATATTGAAGGTTTGTTGGTACGTGAACGATTGCTTGGGCCAACTAATGGAGAATATCGTTATTCGTTATGTTATCGCGGTGCTATACTAGCCGACATTGGACAGTACCATGAGGCAGTTACCTATTGGATATACGAACTTGGCTTGTGTCAACAATATTCAATTTCAATTGATTCAAAACATTTGCGTCGTTTTGCATCACTTTTTAGTAGAATGTTATACAAAACAAAATCAATACCAACGGAAGCAATAATCATAGTAATAAAAGCAATATGTTCAGAACTAGAACGTGATAAACAGAATTTCAATGACAATCTTTTTACTTTACTTTTCCTAATAACAATAACAAGCCAGGTAAAATGTATTTCTCGTATAGATAATCTTTATTTTATTTGAACAATGTTTCCTTTAGTATTTGATAGAATGCGCTATCTCCATCGCGGAAAAAGAATTACTGTTTCATATTCTTCGTTCTATTGTTCAACATCATTACACTCAGATTGACTCCGGAATGTCTTTACTACATCTATCTGTGGATATTCGTACACGGGTAAATGATTATCATATTAAACATATTTGCAAGTTCGTTATATACATCGCATAGGAAGTTTTGCATTGCTATACGTTTTTCATTGCAGATATCCGTGTTTGCAGACAACTCGTATGCTTTTAAAATGTGGTGCCATTGCAAATGCATTCGATATTCTACAAAATACACCGCTACATGTTATTGCTTCAAGTAAATCTGCCAGTGATGAGCCCTTATTGAATCTTCTTTGTGACGCTGGGGCTCATATAGATTTTGCGAATGTGTCGGGAGAGACCCCTGCCGACTTATCTGCAATACCGGAGATAAAGCAATTATTAAAAAGGAGATTCAAATTAAATTTGAAATGTATGTGTGCACGCTTGATACGAAAGAAAAATTTGTCGTTTCACGGTACACTTGCTGTTTCGCTTATGAACTTTGTTGACAAACATTAATTCTTAAAAGTTCGATACAATATTTTTATTTTGCTACTTATTAATAACTATTTCAATCATATTTCACTACCTGTCTTTCTTTGTGATAGATTTATCTTTTCAGCAGATTTGAAATAGTTGATATTAATAATTTTTCACCTCGTTACTATACTTCTACTACAAGACGTTTCTGAAACAAACAAAAAATTTAATTCTATATAAATAATAATTCCTCGTTCACTAATCATTTTCAATTGAGAATCTATTAAAAATAAGTAAAATTTTATATAGAAAAGCGTGAGTTTTTTGGAAGTTATAATAATCCAAGGCGATATATAATACTATTCAACTGAATGAAAAAATAATCTGGAGGCTTATATGATTACCTGGTATAACTTATTAAAGACTAGAACAGAATACACATGGTCCATGCTGAAGAAAATTTTTAAGTTTTAACAAGTTCATTATAATCATCGAAAATCTCATTGCATCTTATAAAGTGCCAAACAATATTCATGCTCTGGCAATAGTTTATCTGTGAAAATAATATGATAGTTACATTCAGAAACAATTAACCTATAGTATTTCAGCTTGTTTTGAATCTTTTTAATTCAGAATTCGTTCATTGTGGAAGGGCACCGGGCAATATATGTAGTTTTGACCAAAAAATTCATACTATTACACGTGTATCAACTGCAAAAATTTTGAAATTAGAGTAGAAAACAAATATTTGCAGAGATATAACCTACTAGTCACTTAAAGTAAATCTCATCAACCTTCCATATTTGATCAACAAGATCCTTTATTAGTGTCGGTGTACAATCATAATCAACTAGTCGATACTGGCGATAAAGAAATCTTGGGATACTGAATCAAAGATATAGCAACTTATACATTAGTCATCCTAAACTATCATTATAAATTGCTGTACAGAGAATGTCTGATTTTGATTAGCATGGAATATCGAACGATTGATCCAGTTGGAAAAACACACTTCCAAAGAAATAAATTAATATAATTATACAACAGTTCGATTGAAATCTGGCACGTTTTTAAACGATCTTCTATAAACTTTCGTCGACACGCTGCATAAATATGCTTCGATCAGGACGTACATTCTCGTTCGCTGACAGATATTGTATATGAAGCGATAAAAATATTATAGTTGTCTCATTAAAATCATCTTGCCATTCCGATCTTATCCCATGTAATTAGTAATAATACAAGAAAAAGAAAATTTCAACATCAACATTCTTCTTAGATATACGAAGTTTGAGTGCACAGAAATTAACCACGATAGTATACACTTACGGGGATTAGCATGCAACATTTTTAAATAGAAAACTAAACATCACGTTTCTTACAACTCATTGTACGGATATAATTAGCAGATGAGCTATTTAGAACATTGACAAAAGTATCCATTTGCTCGTACTTTGATCGAGGCTTAGGATTATTTGGAATTTTGCTAGAACAGTTTAATTTATATTATTAATCACATGAGTAGCACTTTTCCTGGTCTCGAAATTTCTAAAGAAAGAGTTTGATGCAATTTTATCTGAGTTGTTTTGAAAATATGAGCAATACTCTTTCTTTTCTCTCTGTGCTGTTCTGTTTCCTCTGTTACTATAGAACTTTTTATCGCCCAATGTGGATCATCGCACATGATTGTTTTCATTTAGCTTTCAATGTAGTTTTTCCCCAGCTGAATGAGAAAGAAAACTTTTCAAAATTCATTTCACCATTGCGTCAAGACGTCATCGATTTTAATTATCGGGTGAACAAATAAAATAGTTTATAAAAAGAAATCCCACAAGATAACATTATCAGCCTCGATAGTAAAAATAAGAAAGTTATTTTTGCCAAACATGCTGGTTTTTATTCTTTTAAATTGATTTATATATATTTATTACAGTAAAATAAACACTCAATGACAACTCTGTTTTGTGGTGTAAAAATACGCAAGAAAAATACAAATATTTCTATTTGCATAGAAACACAATAAAGCCCATTCAAGTCGCAGATATTCTGCTTTATTTCATTGTCAAAATAAACAATATTCTATTCAATTGAAGAAAATCAATTTTTTCGTTCAGTATAAATTAACTCGTACCCAGAACAGGAACTTACCAATATTCAACCTTCATTGATTGAAGAATAACTCGCATTGGTCAGACTGCTATGCCTTCATTATTTTCATTACAGACCTTAGCAACTAAAAACGTACTAGTTATATATCTCAGAAACAAGGTAGACTTTCATGAAGGATTGTTTAATTAGACGTATTTCATATTATGTTAGTGAAATTAAAGGAGACATGTGAGCTTCTTTTTTTTAGTCTCAATAGCGCTGCGCTGATAATACTTTTCATTTTCTCGTGAAAATTCATTTGCTTGTACAAAGCATGTTTGGATGGCAACTTTCTTTTCTACACAGCCGAAATCAATAGAAAAATGGAGAATGATTCCTCTTTTACAGTGTTAACAGTTGGTTATTTCCGATTTAAAAAATGGCACACAGCCAACGTTGAGATTAAGTGACAATGAATCAACACACGTTTTTTTCTTGCTTTAATATGTTTGATGCTTTTAAAAAAGCAATATGTTTGAACAATAATATGTGTGAGAAGTCTACGCATGCCAAATTCTGTGAGCCTCATTTATCTGCAGAAGTCTCTGTATGCTAACAATACATGATTATCACGAGAAATCTCAATACAACTCTGAAGAAACCACGTGATAGCCATTTGATTACAATTATATGACTAGATGAAGTATTTACTATTTCAATAGATTATAATTACATCTACCAAAATGAATCAGCCTTTAGTAAAAAAGTGTCCGTTTTTTATAGCAAGCTGTCTGTGACTAACGCTTTGGAAATTCATGCATCCGTTATCTGAACTGAAGGAATGCATCCTAGGATACGAGAACAATCTTTTGTTAAGATTCATCCATGTTTCAAGGATCTGTAATTGGAGTGCCAAATTAATTTCTAGTTTCTGCAATAGAAACAGTGAAATTGTACTAATTGTAATGATGACATAAAATAATTTTTTTGTATTGTGATCCTATTAGGCAACCGGTGCTTTTTTATTGTCTGTAATGAAGAGTAAGAGGAAACTACAATCTGATTTTTCAGTCTGAAATTATCATAGGACGGTGGTAACTAGTATTTGTGATATATAGAGAAAATGAAAAGACGCGAAAATCTCACCTGCTTTTTTCATTAAATGTATGCGATCTGCAGATAAATCAATAAATAGCTGCATAACGAGAGTATTCGCTTGCCTCTTTCTGTCGAGGACACTAACATGCATACACCCACACCCACAGGTAACAAATAGTTCGTTTGATATGTTTAGTCTAGCACTACCAATTAATTGTATATTTCATCTGTTATCGCTTGAGTTAACTCCTGGTTCCCGTGTCTCAGCCTTTATTACAATAGTTGACTCATTTTTTGTTAACTAGCTGATTATATCTATTGCTATTCGTCATGCATTTGTCTAATTGAAATATTTACTGAAAGTTTAACGTTAAATTTAATGATAATATCAAAATCATTTAGTTTCATTTCAGTTCACATAGATTTAAAAAAAGGTATTCTCGTACTTATCTTTTATTTTAACGCCATTCTAGATATAATTGATGCTAGTCGGAAGATATTCCTAAACAATGCTTTTGAATATATTTAATTTACTTCTTCATCAATTAATTTTCTATTGCTGTAGCAAGATGACAGTACCATCTGAATTCTTTTCATTTCTCGTTTAGTCATAAACTACTACGCCAACAAGTTATTCGCTTTATGAGTAAGAAATGAAACAATATAACAAAAAACATAGGTGAGGAAGTTTGTAGACAGTTTTTCTCACGATTGATTGCCTCATTTTTATCTATTTTATATGAAAAATCCAACCTTCTTAACGAAAATGTCATCGAAGAAAGGAAAAGTAACTTTCTATTTTTGATTCATCAAGCACACACCGCATAGAGAAATAGATCGATAAGAATAAATCCCTATAGGTCACCATCGAAGCGAAATTAGATGAACGCTGAAAACTCTGACAACTCTTTTTGTGTGAAATCCACAAAGTCCGTCTCTTATTCGATGTAATTATTTGATGCAATCGTAGTGGTATCGAGTGAGGCAATTTTGAAGGGTATATGTTCAAAGATGCACAAGGCAGTAAATACAGAATCACTGATGTCGGTCAACATCATCGATATTTGATGCAACCATATAAGCTAGCAGTCGGTTATGATGAACGTTTATTTCATTCGTTCTGATTACCTGATTAAAATGCAACTATTCATACCTTAGTTATTGGCACCAATATTAACAGATTCTCCACCTATTATCACCGAACACTAGACGAATCTTCAGCATTTGATTATTAGTAAAAGTGTCCTAGATGGTACTTCCATTACATAACGGCAATAGTAACTCTACAGAACTTCACCAGCAAACAAAAACGACTCTAAGGTTCGGAAAAACTGATGGTCCATCTTCATCTCATTGATTCTGCAGTATAATTTCGATAAACTTTCAAATACATTATATTTAGAGACTTTCGCCTACCTAGACAAAGAAAATCAGATTTCTATAGCTTTGTTTGTTATTGATGTTTCCATTCTTGCTAGGTGTATAGTAGAGAGAAAAAAGTAACACAGAAATTAATTGTTATTGACAATATTGAGGATATCATAGATGTTAAATGATATAGAACTTGTTGAAACGATAGAAACTATAGAGAAAAACAGCCATTGGTATACTTAACATTTTTCTTTTATTCTAATTAAGCCCAAAAATATATCAATATTTTGATAAAATATAAATTGATTTTTGAAATCATTTTGAATAAATATTTCAAAAAGAAAAATTTTTACGCTACAATAAAAGAACAACATCGAATATTCAATAGAAGTCAATTGAGTTTGTTCGTAAAGAGTCTAGCACTTAATACTATTGATTCATCTTAGATGAATCATCTGCACTCCTATAGTGTTAGTACGACGATGTTGGAATTGGAATATTTTGAAATCTTTTAAACGCTGCAAGACTTCTTTCGTTGTTAATAGGTAAATAAATGGCGTTAATAGATAAATAAAATAAGGCGTAAAATACAACCAATGAGTCAATATATCGGTAAGAAAATTCGGATACAATACAAGACGAATTATTGCAAACACAGACAAAGGCACTTGTGTGAATAAAAATACACATGCTACAGCTATTAGTTGAACGATCATTTTTCTAGTACGACTCCAATTGAAAGCTACATTGAGTCGGCGTTTCTTTAAAATAAAACGAGTAAGCAAGGCTACATTAAAAACAATTACAGTGATGATCGGCAAAAGCATACTGCCTATCCAATCAAGAGTTTCCAGCGAGACATTCGATTGATAACAAGTAAAATCACACAAAAATAAAGTAAAATTGAATGTATTCGTGCATGAATTGAAGAGAACAAGAATTCCATACCAAAGAATTACTAGCATGCAGCACAATGCTATCGGAATATAATGAAAGAAAATTCTTCGACATCGTGATTTCATTATTGTCTGCGAATAAAATACCAAGACGAATCGCTCAACACTGGCAAAAGCCATAACAACACTGTTGATAGTTTCTAAACTATAATTAATAAAAATCCAATACAGACACAATTGACTAGAATTCGGTTCCAATAATCCTCTTCTAAGAAAGCTCAACGTTATCGGTAGTTCGGCGAGTTGGAGAAGAAAACAATCCATCAAAATCAATAGCATACTGTGGTTTGCCAAGCGACGCAGTTCGCGTTCACGAACAACACAATAGAATATGATGATGGAACAGAGTAGAGAAGCTATTTGAAAAATTTGTAATATATAATATTTCACAAGACGAGTCATCGATGTTTCGAAAATGTGGCTATCCGATATATCCGTCGTCAAGGTATTCACATTTGCGTTCAGTTGAAAAATATTTTCCACGTTATAGTGATGAGATTTCATTAAAGCCACGTGTGCGTGTATCACTTATATATAACAGGAACAAGTAAAAAATTGTCTATCTTTGCTGCAAAAACTTTTAGTTAGATTTGAGAAGTGACGAAAACAGGACAGAAAAAAATGCAGTGAAATAATACTTAATACTGTGCGCAATACTCCAAGAGATGGCGGAAGGCTATCCGTTTACATGATATTCAAGTCTAAGATTTTTCATATGAATATAAATGATTTTTATTAAACGTCTGAAATATCTCACTTAATCCAATTCATTTATTGACCATATAATGAGCTTTTTATTCGTATCTTTCTTCCTTAGGTTACCTTCGGAATAGTCACATATTGAAATGATCGAGAATACAATATGGCACTCTGTTCATTAAATTAATCGGAATCAGTAAAAAAGTACTTAATTTAGGTTTTAATTTCAATATGAAACCTTGAAGAAATATTGTCAGTGACTTCAATCTTATTGAAAATTCTCTGCAGTTCCATGCTAAAAACAAATTTCAAATATTGAATTCTTAAATGAATTACAGACTGTGATTCAATTGTCACTTATTGTATCTGGGAGGGAAATACCTTTTAATTAACAAATACTCATCACACAGAGACTCGTGAAGCTGACTCGTAAAATTGAATCTTAACATGGGTAAGTGTTATAATTGATTGGAAAGAGGAAATTTTGATTCGTTGAAATTTAAATGATTTGAACTACGCAATTTCAAATCTTACCTTATTAAGTAAATCATAATTTGACTAACAATAGAGATGACATTTATCTTTAATATAAAAATGAAATGCAAATCTTGTTGATGTCAAACATCTCAAAAATTCAACTAGTAGCTGTCATTTTATCGTTGACTTTGAAAAAAAGCTTCTTATTAAGATCAATCAATATGCTAGAATACCTTGGTTTACAAGATTATTTTTTTCCTAATAATTCAATTGATGATAGACTTTCTGTTTATGTAACTGCTTTTTTATTCTAATAATTTACATCTTCATATTGTACGTGTTACTTTCTATAGCAATTTCAAAGGAGCATGGCATAAAATAAATCTACAAATATAGTGTTGAATCAACCGAGTGCTTCATATTTTGTGTCTATTGGCATGAAAAAGAAGTGTTATGCTACTTGAAAATTCTAATTTTTTTTTCGTAAATGATTGTGCTATTTTTAAAAGAAGTGAAAGCTTCTTCGATTCATTCGATTGATTTAGAAAAACAAGTGCTGGCAACACGCAAACTATTTTTAGAGTAAAAATACATTTTTGACCAAAATTTACAAACGATTTATGTACGATATGCATCTCATTCTTCTTGGCTTCATCAAGAGGGATTCCAAAGCTTTATCTTATGCCCATTATTATTCTAGTCGGCATACTATTGCGAAACTTTCGAAACTTAGTCAATCGAGAGGTAGCTTTCCTCGTTGATATAATTGCACATAGTATATTGATAGAGACGATGAATTCATAAATTTTCATCAAAAACTTCTACTTTGAATAATCTTTTTCAACCTATATGTGGGTGATCATCTAGTTGAACTAATGATTTTTTTCTGAATCACTAGAATAAAACTCATGTTCTAACATTTTCTAGTGTTTTGATTTCAAGTAGCAATATTCATGAACCTTTTTTTTAGCTCTTATCAAAAGTTATTCAGAAAATCGTAGAAATTTTTTAAATTCTGAAACGAATGTTCATTGCTTCTTTGTATGAACACTGCCATCTTAAAGATTGAATCATTAATACATGAAATGTTTATTTTATATCCTTAGTAAGTAAAATATTTAGAAAATTCTGAATCGACTCCATCACACCATTCATTTCTACTAGTCTTTTTTCAAGTCGATCCATTTTCTCTTGCATCAGCACGCACTGCTGTGTAATTCGTTCATTGATAGGATTTGTGAGAGCTTGACTACACAATGGTTCTACCCGATCTACGCACGCATCAATTAATTTGCGCTGCTTTTGCCTGATGCTTCGATTTGTTTTTATCCAAGTAAATAATTTTTTTTGCGCCAGTAGATACTCAAATGATGAGTATCGACCACGTTGCTTGAAGCGAAAAAGGGCAATAGCATACTTAATGATATTAGCCGATGCATGGTTCTTTGCTTTGCTAATTTCAGTGCTCAAGACGAGGTTATAAACATACGTTTCCCAACGACTAAATTCCAATTTTCTCAATAGTACTGCTATGAGAATTGCACTTAGTATGATGCCAGTTAAAGCAATCAGGACAGCAATATCTATAATATCAAGTAAACGGATTTATTGACAGTGCACTCTGATAAAACTTGGGATTTCAACAAAAAATAACTGTTGTGATTAAAAATGAAACTTAAACCCGCATTCAGATATCAGAAAATGGGGCAATGAAGCAATATTGTTTTAGATACAGTGAAAATCATGAAAATAACCTTTTTTTGGCGTTTCTCATAGTCTAGATTTTTATATAGCTATGCATCATCTCTTACAATCTGAGTGTTCTATTATGATAATGTCCAATGGTCTGTTATGATGTCTTCACTTGGTGTATGATTTCTGACTGGTCAATAGGTACCAATATAGAGTCATTTTTCATTTTTATCTCATCAGTTCAAGAATTGAGATCTAAACAGTTCTCTTAGCTTTCTGATGTTCAACCTACATAAATTTTAAATTGATGCATAGAGATAAATATAGTTTCGAAGGCATCAGCTATCCTAAGCTTTACAAAAAGTTCTCCGAATAAGGTACACAAAACTACCGAAGCAATTGACTCAAACAGGGACCAGAAATGTTTCTAATCATCTACAAGATGACAAATTCAAGCTTGCTATTGTTCGTTTACATGCGTCGTGACTTTTAAAAAAGACCTCCTCTGTACGTACTATGGGTGGTGTAGAATACAACGATACCGGATTTTGCATCCACAATGCTTGTTGATGTTAAAATATTAACCCCCCTCGGAAAAGAAGACCCCCGGATTAAAAGGGCCTCCTCGATTAGAAGCCCCCCTCCCTAAAAATTTTGAATGATCGTCTTAATATAAGACCCGGGCTTTATAATTCGCCCATGTTCTCTATTACTTGATTTGTCCATTACTCTTCACAGAAAAGAAATTTTTTTTTCTGTATACGTTTATGTTCTCTCTCTCTCGCACCATCTTTTCTCTCTGTTCAGAAAAGTGAGAAAAGATTCATTCTTTCCATTCATGAGTCATTATGAAGATTATTGATCGACGAGGCGAGCACCAATCGTCGTCAGATAGACATTTTATTCTTCATTTTTATGTTTACATTGTTCTAAATGGGCTGATTAGTTATGAACGACGACAATGAGAATATGCTTTGTCTTTCGATACCCTAAAAAATGATAATTATTATATTTATGTAACTTATGTAAATTTATGTTTTGATTTTCATCTCTTGTCAATTCGAAATTGTGAATTGAACAAAAAAGATTAAAAATAAATATTTATCTGAAGATTTCTAAAACTTTCTACCAACATGGGGGAGGGGTTTACGACTAATTAAACCGTAGAAATAAATTTAATCAATTCTTTTGTATCTTTTCAGGCCGATGCAGGAAAACAAGAAGAGATTATCATTACACAAATCATTGCTTTTCGATAGAAAAACTTGTTATTTTGGAACTTTACATATGAGATCATGGCATAAGATACAAAACGCAATCTCTGTGTTCACGAATAGACAGAGCTCACTCATATAATCTCAGCTACGAGCCTATCGAAGAATTATATACTACTATATTTACTTACTTCGACCACAATATGTCGTTGGACTGAAATCACCATAACCTAACAATAAGTAAGACGGTGCACAAATTTAATTGAGACTAATTTTTCGCTCCTCGATACTCACCGACAGTCGTAAAAGTGATAATGAAAAGCCACATCGCATCAAGAAACGATATTTGATTTACCCCGGACTGATACTCGCAAGCTCGAAAACTCCAACTACCAATGAAGAATAAAAAGGTACCGGGTATCATCAGAGAGCGCGTTGGCCAGATTTGCAGATAGTATTTGATGACAAAAGTAAAATCAATTGACACTCGACTGAAGTGACTCAACGATTGCGATGTTACATCACGAACCACTCTTAAATGAAACATGAGGACGCGACCAAACAAATACAGGCGGAAAAACACTAAAAGAAAAATTCATCTCCTTAGATAAACGACATCGTCTTACTTGGTAATCCAAGGGCCACATCGAGATAGTTGTATGGCAACAGCTTCTTCGCTGCCTCATCATTGTTAGTAATCGATGTATTCAAAATTGTTGAGCCGCTGCTTGAATACCCTATGACCAAAACTTGACGAGACAATGGATGAATGGCGCAAATCATTAGTTCCAGTGCAATTATCGCTGCTCGTTTTAAGGTCAAACCTACGCGCCAGTCGTCAAGTGAATTATTAAGACAATATAGATTCAAAGCATAGTAATGATAAACGATAACAAGAATAATTAGAAGCACTGTTGAAATGGTAGTAGCCAGCTTGAGAACAAAGATGATTCTCAGATAATTCTGTTTATTTGCAGCAAAGATCAATTCACTTCCAATAATCATGAGAATTATTCCAGTCATGCCAACAAAACACATGATGTCACTAATAGTTGAACTAAACAAAATTAAATATATATAAATTAAATAGCGAGGCTGTGTATGAAAATGACTCTATTACCATTGATTGTAACGTATTTTTCGATTTATCAATCGGCGACTGGCATCAACAAGAGAAACATTTCTCGTGTATCTTTGCTTTTGATTTTGTTGTTGTTGTTGTTGTAAGGGAGATTGTGAATCTGTTACTGGTAATGTGTCCTTTTGCGAAAGCTCAACTGATGGAGGCGTGCCTTGAGATAGAGAAGCCAAATCAAGAATCATTGTCGAAGATGATTAAAGTCAACTGAAACTGATACGATGCATAGATACAAGACATTTTCGACATAAGAACATATAGAGAAAAATTCTTTTTCTCTCCAACATATATAAGATATGGTTAAAATTATTACTACAGTGCTTTTTTCGAAAATGTAACTCATTCTAGAAAGAGCGGTACTGTTCACAATCATTCGATAATTTTTGCATACAAAAGAATAATCCTCAACATTAATCAACGATATTCACAACATAAGATAATCAGTTATCTCTATTACATAGTTCCAGCTCAATGTAAGCATCGTAGTAACGTGTCTAAGATAATTACTGAATACCTCAATTTGCTCTCCTATTCGCTGGTTGTTTTAGATTATCTCTGTTGTTATCAAAGTTCTATAGTATGCTTCTATATTTGACAGACTCGATAATTATCAGTCGAAACTGCAAAATGGAAAATGAGGTGATACTTGGTGTGTCGACTTGCAGTATCTGTTTTCAGGAAATTCTAGTATTTTTGCGTATGATATGAAAATAATTTAAGACTTTTATGAATCACTATCTAAATGGGTTGTTGAACTATATAGCGTAGACATTTGAGCCGATCTTTCTTTCCCTGTCCTCCATACAGATCGTGACAGACGACTTCAAAAGGCTATCGACGATCATATACACAAGGAACATCTAAATGGAAGACATATGAAGTATTTATTTGTTAAAGTTTTAGGGTGCAAAAAATCCTCATGTGTAGAAATATGGGGGGGGGGGGGGGGGGGGGGGGGGGGGGGGGGGGGGGGGGGGGGGGGGGGGGGGGGGGGGGGGGGGGGGGGGGGGGGGGGGGGGGGGGGGGGGGGGGGGGGG